GCAGCAATAGGAGATATCTATGTTAAATATAAGGGAAATCAGAAGGTTTGTCATGATTATCAAATACATCTTAGTAAAATCTTTTCTAAAATACACTTGTTGAATAACAAGCCCATCCTCTCCTTCACCCCAAGCTTTCCCCTGGCAAGCAGCTTGCAGCTAGACTGCCTAGATGGACAGACTTGCTGAGCTCCTCTAGTTCACCCTTCGCTCAAGCTGCTAACGCAGAGGTTGAAGTGATGAACCCCCAAGAGCAAAGCTCTGATTAACTTTCCCTTCAGTTTAGCACAGGACACTGCTCTGGCTATGTTTGCTCAGATCTAAACAACGAATTTTATTATCTCATTTGCAATTGACACACTAGTCCCTAAAAGGTCTTTGTTTTGAACGTGTTATCATTACATTTTTGCGGAACGGGGAGTATTGAGCAGAACATCTCCATATAAGGCAGTGAGCATGGATATATGCACAGACCCCGATGCTTTAGAAAGCACTGAGACTTATTAGTTGCAAATCTGGTGGCTTTTAAGTATGTTAATTTTAGAAGAAGCCAAGAGCTAGAGAAAGCTTTCCAACCTGTGCAAAGTCCAGTTAAAGTGTAGATTCTTTGTGAATTCTAATCAACATGCAGGGTCTGATTTAGTTAATAGAATGACATTTAGGAACACTTGAAATAGTTGGTATTTTCCAAAAGGAGTCTATCCCCACATGATGCACTTCAAGTCTTTTTTTTTTCTTCTTTTCTAGTTTTTATGGTTTGTAACACAGGTAATAACCTGGGCTAATTTCTTTTGAGTATTACAAGAGCTATCAAGTGTTTAACCTGTAGTAGTTCACACTAAGAGAGGTGAGAAGACCTTATAGGAGACCAAGGCACTTACAGGCAATTTGACTGAAGTATATGGAGAATGCATAAAAAAATCCCAGATAAAACCTGATGGTAGCTCCATGTCCAATGCCCACGATGGGGAGAGGTGAAAGACTGGGAGCAATGCTCGTGACAAAGCTAACAGTGCTGGGGGAACCAGTACCCAAATGAAGATCACAAGATATAGGATTCACCCCTAGATTATCTTTTTTTCATGCAATGCTCAGTTGGATGATTCGGTTAAGTACTAGAAAATTAAAAGATAAGGAGCCTGGAAAGAACATGGTCAAGAATTACTGTAGCCCAAGAAATGCAGTTTGAGTCAAGCAGCAGGTTACTGCTACACTCTGAAAATAATTCACATACTTGATTATATGTTCCTCTGTTCTAATAACTATTCCCTGTACGGATGTGATAAGCTTTTATACCAACATGCACATCCTGCAGAGGAAAGGAGAGGTGTCCTTTATCTTCTCCTTAGGAGAAAAGCAGTCCCTCTAAGCTTTGACCTAGGAGGCAATTCTGTTTGGCCAATAACCTTTTAATTGAAGTGCGTTTCCTAAAAATATTTATATTTCATCCTTGGAACAATATAATCAGGATAAACTGGTGGTAAAGACAGCATTCAGCTCCTGTCATTAGCGTGAAAAGGGAAAAAAGACAGTGAAGGTCAGCCAGATACCTCTGCAGTGGGACAGCAAATGGAGGAATAGAGATTGCATGCCTATGTGTAAGTGCACATTTGGGGGTTAGACAAATATAACAGATGGATCCAGTTAGGTGCAGTTTGGCACATTTCTAAGGCAAGAAACTTCATATCAATAGGATTTTGGTGATTGCTTTTTGCCCTCCCTTTCTCAGGATAGCTCAGCTCTGAGTAGAAAAATACTCTTGTATGTGATTTGGGCTATCATCAGCCTAAAAGAATCGATGACAACCTCTTACTATCCCTTGCACAGATGAGACAGTGGTCCCCATTTCTCTCAGCCAGCCCTACAGATGAAACCAAGGAACTAGCTAAGGGGTAAATTTTGCCTTCCCAGGGAATGTTCTCAATAGGCAGTATGGAGTCTTTCCCCTTGGCCTGTTTTCCCAGTATCAATCATACACTGGACCAGTGCAGTTCAGACTTTGATCAGAGATGGACCAGAAGATTTATTGCCAATTATTAATCAGAAAGGTTCGGCACCTCATTAGCAGCTCATTAGTCCTCTCTAGGAGAAATTTAGTTGAGTTTGTGGAGTTTATCTTCTACCCTTCCATTCAGAAACCTTTCTTTATAATGAATATTAATTATTGATAATATTAGGAAAGGTATTGAACTATTAATAGTCTTTAATCCACACTTCATAACTGCATTTCATTTTTCCTACAGTGGTAGCCAGCAGCTACTCAAACTTTATCCTCAGATTCCAGAGGATCAGTCATGAAAACTTGTTTTCACACAAATCCTCATGTTTTCTCCTCATTGTGTTATAGAGGAGTTACAGGATGCAGCTCAGACTGTCTATTCACTAGTTCTTGTAGGGGTTTAAACTAGTCCTAGTGCTTAGACCTAGCAGATAACAACCTGCATTTCCAAGCTCTGCAGTTCATGCCACTTCTTATACCTTCCAACCTCATCTTGCTTTCAAAAGGATTGAATTTAAAATTTTCTGCACCTTGTTATATATATGTGCAGGGAGGAATAGGAGAACATAGTCAAATACAGACCAGCTAATTGTTTCATTATGTAATATGTGGAAGATGGTTTTGACTTAGCATATAACAAGTAAAGGAACTTCTCCTTGGTCTTTGGGCGAAAGAACAGCAAAGCACTTTTGGGATGTCCCACTGTGACATGCTTTGCAGCAGGCCAATAGTTTTAGCTCTGGCTGGGTTTTTGAGGTAGATGGTCAGGATGATTCAGCAGTTTGATTTCCATCATCATCATCTGTGGGCAGCCTCAGAGTAGCAGGATTTGATGCCATGAAATCAGCTCTGTGGTTTAGGGTATTTCTGACAGCAATATGAAATTCCTATTGACATGAATGCGTTGTCACTTGTCACTTAGCCACATGCAGCACTATCCAACCTTTCTGATGCTTCAGGATCACTATATAGCTCTCTTCTGGGCACAGGCTGGTCTGAAATCCCCTGCTGCATTGCCATAGCAGTTCCTCCCACGCTGCTGGGGCAGTGGGGTGGAGAACATGCCTTGCCCATCGCCACTGCAGCAGGAGGAGAGAGGCCATGGCAACTCCTGCTGCTCCCTGAGCCCTGTGCTGCTGGAGCTGCAGCTCTGGTGATGGGGCAGTGCTCCCTTTGCTCCCCTGTCCAGCTTCACCCTGCAGCCGCCAGCTGGAAAGCTCTGCTGGAGAGAATACCATCTCCATTATTGGAACTGTGCAGCTCTACCAGCCCTCTTGGCAACAAGAGAACATTTTCTGCCTTAATCCACACAGAGGTCAAATAGTTTCCTCTTGCAGCTCTCTTCCAAGAATCTCCTGGGAACAAGAAAAGGGCCACATCCTACAGATGCTCCCTTGCAGAGCCCTGATGGCAAGGAACACTGCACATGGGCCAGTGGCAATGCATAGATCCAAGCAGATGAGACCATTGTCGAGGGAGTTTAAGGGTTTGGGGCATCTGATTTCCACTGAATTTGAGTGGGATATTCTCTAACTCTCTTAGGCACCTCTAAAAATCCTAGTTTTGTTTTTAAGCACCTTCCGTATGATCCACGTTTCTCAGACCCCTCACACAGTCTGGCCTTGTGAAAAACCATTAATCTGTGGAAGGCTTCAGGGACAAATATTTGGAAAGCAAACTCTGATGCTCCCAGGACACAGAGTGTCCATTTGGCCTCATACCACAGAGCTTGGTCATTACAAATAGCCTTTTGCTTATGGGTTGATTGCTGACTTCTTTAGCAGCCAGTTCTCCAAGCTCCCTCAAGATTCATGTTTGTTTGGATGCTGCAGATATTAAATTCATTCTCAATAAGGAAATGAAACAGCCTCTGTCTCCTAGAGATGTTTTTCTTGGGCACACGTTCTTTCTTGCTGCCTGCTGTAGCTCCTCCCCAGCTCTGCTCTCTGCTCTACTGCACAGCAGGTTTCCTGACTAGCACAACTCCTTCTGCCCTGTAGTAAACCACAAGAAGTCCTCTGTTTACTCCTTCCCTCACTTAGAGCTGTGTCCCCATAGGGTAGAGCAGAGCACTTAGAAAAGCTCCAGTGCTTCCTCTCTCAACTCTCCTATTGCTCTCACCTGCGGAGCAGATACATCAGCTGCTTTATCCATATGAAACTGCATGACTCACATGCATCATCCTTCCATTCTGAGCATCATAGTTCAGAGGATCTATTAGCTGATGCTATTTCCAGGCTTGTTTTATTTCTCCTCTCTCTCGTGATATTTACCCTTCATAAATGATCAGTTCCCACTGTCTGCCCCGTGAAATGGGATAATTACTTCTTCACCAGCAGCACTGATAAAAAGTTTTTCTGCTTTTTCTTCTGACCTTGTCTTAATCTTATTCTTCTCCAAATAAAATGGTGAGTGGAAATAGTTCTTTGCAAGAAAGGTTCATTTCTGTCCTTGCAGGAACAAACCAGGAACCTTTCTTCTACTATTTCTTTCATTTTTACACTGGTATTTCAGTATGTATCCAACAGTATTTTTGGATGGGAAATTTTGTATTGGCCTGAATTCAATTAACTTTGTGATGGGCAAGAGCTGAGGCTGCAGGAAGGTGTTCAGCTGGTGGTCTTGGTGCAGTTCTGTCAGTCTCACTGTACTGGCATTAGTACACTTACTTTTCTCCCTGGTCTTCAGTACAACATAAAATGAAGTAATAAGCCCAGGTGTCCTCATTTGATTTTCTGCTATGAAGCTTTTTGATTTTGGTGACTTCAGACACAGTAACAAAGGAAAGGGAATCTGAACACAGATATTCTAAGGTATCTAGGCTAGTACCCAAAAGTATCTGCATGGAAATGTAAGACATGACACAGGACCTATATTGCTTTTATATTACCTCATGGCAGATTGGACCAATGTGTTTTGCCTAGAATATCTCTACACATTCCTCCTTTTATCCCTTTAAGCAGAATATTTTGCTTCCTCAACAGGTGTCTGCTGAGTCAAAATGTCTCAAAAACCTCTCAGCGATGATGAGAAGTTCCTCTTTGTGGACAAAAACTTCGTCAACAGCCCACTTGCCCAGGCTGACTGGTCAGCAAAGAAACTGGTTTGGATTCCATCAGAGAAACATGGATTTGAAGCAGCAAGTATCAAGGAAGAGAAAGGGGACGAGGTGATAGTTGAACTGGCAGAAAATGGAAAGAAAGTGACACTGAGCAAGGATGACATCCAGAAGATGAACCCTCCAAAGTTCTCCAAAGTGGAGGACATGGCAGAGCTGACTTGCCTCAATGAAGCTTCAGTGCTGCACAATCTAAGGGAGAGATACTTCTCAGGTTTAATTTATGTAAGTAGAATCAAACACACACCATTTCCTAGTGCATGTTACCACATCCCATCAACAGTGACGTGGCTTGCACCCACTGCCAGGGACACAGTCCTTGTGTGTACCACTGCCATGCAAGTACTAACCCTTCAGCAACTGCATCCTAAACCAAAAATGTTCCCTTTATACCCCATGACTCTCCTGATTCTTTAATAATTGTTATTTTTTTTTACTTCGCTCAATTCAAACACATGAAGGTTTCCTATGCAAAATTTACTAATTTTGAAGGGATGTTGTTGGCTTGGAAGGTACTCTCTGTTAGCTGAACAAAACCTCAGTTCTGCTGTTTAAAAGAAAAAAACCCAACTTAGTAGGGCCTTTTGAATTACTTCGATGTAAACCTGAACAAGTTTCCAGTAATTTGAAAAGAGAGCTTAAGGAAAAAGCAAATCATGCAGTCTTCTCAGGCAAAACTCCCACTGAATGGCAGCTGACAAGTTATGGTTTGGTGAATGCTTGAACCTTATGTTTTCAGACATGAACAAACCCCCTGGAATTCAGTTGAGAGTACTCACACACACCAGTGTGTTACTGAAGCAGAGCCATGCAGCCACTAAACCTTTCTTCCTCCCCTCTTGGTCAGCTAACAGATCAGACAAGCCTGGACAATTTATAATCTTTCTCTATGTTTATGTGAGCTACAGCCAAGATAATTCTGTATTTCAGTCCACAGAAATACATTAAAATGAGCATATTTTGACATTAATAATGCTGTAATCTGTCTGCATCAACAGTTAGCAAACTGATGTTTCCAAGGAATGTAGCTGTTATCTTTGATTTTACATGGAGGATCCCTATGCTGTGCTGCAAAAAAGTTAGCTACAGCTTCAGTCTATGAAAATTTTAATTGCATGACAGACCACTGATGAGTGAAAAAAAGTACAGAGCTGAAGTAACAAGGTTTTAGAAACAGAGTAGAGTACTCATTGTTAATATGAGGAATGCTGAGTAGGAAATCGAGCAGAAAAATAAGATAGTTATATAGAGTACAACAAAGAAACTATTTAATTGCTATGTGTAACTTCAAAGAGCTAAGCTCAAGGTCTTTCCTCCAGGGAGGTACTAAAATGCACATGAAGATTCCTGAAAACAGCTAGACTTTCCATCTTCCCATTATCTGAGTTCATTGAATTTTAAGTTTGCAGTCACAGAGTATTATATCAGAACATGCATAATTAATTACTAAAACAACTGTTCCACATTGTTGCAAGATCTAAAAGGAATTAGTAGAAGGATAGTGGGATGAAATGTGTGAGGGGTTTATTTCTTTGTTGTTGCTCTCAGCAACACTCTGCAGAGATGTTCCAGGATTTCCAGTAGGTTTACTAAGTGGAATTTTCACTTTGCAGAGGAAGTTAACCTCCAAAACTGGATAATGCAATTAGAAATCAAAGAACTTTTCATGGAGACAAAAATGGAAGTGCACCTGAAATTAAGTTTTTTTTCTCAAGAGATTAGATTTTAAGATGGTAAATTAACAGTTTTGAAGGAATTATTTTTGACTTGTATTGCAACAAGTTATTAGTATTTTCAGTAACCAAAACCTGCTTGAAACTGTCCAGCTTTGCACAGTGCTGCCCTACTAGACACTGCCATACCTTTTTAAAAAATATGGAGCATCTAAAGAGAATTTGAGTCTCATCCACTTGCAAAACTAACTGTAAGCAACCATCTCTTGGCTTTGCCATGTATTGCCCAATTTGAGTCCCTTGGAGTCCCACAGATAAATAGAAAACGTGATCTCAAAGTTTTTCTCTTTAGAGCATCACTGATGCAAATGGGGATTCCCAATGCTGCTAAAGAAAAAAAAAATCAACCTAGATAAAAAAACCCCAAAACAAAACCATCTGCTCCTTGAATTTCTATTAAATATTATTAATTTAAAAGATTCAGTGAAGAAATTCACAGAGTGACTGTGCACCAGAGAAACACCCTGGCCTTTCCTTCATCACAGATAATTAAGACAGAAGGGCAAGAAGTATTTTGCCCCTAACTCATCCTCCACATTGCTCAGAACAAAAAGGATCTGCCTTATCCACACACAATTAGACCAAAAAAAGATTATATAAACATGAATGAAACACCAATGCAACTTCAGTAGATTTGAGAGTAGAATCAAGTTCCTTGTGGCTGTACTCATAGGCACTACTAGTGCAGTCTTTGCTTAACTGTGAAAAATCCTGTCTTAAATACACAAAACTAAACCTATTGGAACTGAGGTTGGATTCTTCTGCCCAAACCTAGATATTTGCAACACAGATGGTGTATTTATGCCAGTCTCTTGTAAATACCCATCAGCAGTAGCTGCCTGAGGGATACACAAGCTTAACATTGCTATGGAAGCAACTTCAAATCATGCTCTGCCTCCAGACCCTCTAGGGAGAGCTACAGCTGGGGTTCCCCCTCTCTGGATAGGCTGTGCCCCAAGGAGAAGGATTTAAGACACAGAACCTTCAACACTCCCACTTTCAATCACATGCTTAGCCAACTGGCTTGCATATCTTCAAAACATCACCTTATTGCTGGTTTCCTCATATCCTTGCAAAGAAGATACCTAGAACTACAACCAATGAATTGTAGAATCAACCAGGTTGGAAGAGACATCAAAAATCATCAAGTCCAACCCTACCATGGTTACTAGACCATGGCACTAAGTGCCACATCCAGTCTCAGCTTGAAAACCTCCAGGGATGGTGAATCCACCACCTCCCTGGGCAGCACATTCCAATGCCTGACTACCAAGAGGTCTTGGTTAACTTTCCTGAGGTGAGACGTAGGATCAGTCACAGTCCAATTTGAAGCAGGGATTCCTGAATTTCATCAGCTCTGGCTTTTGCTCTGCCCTAATATCCTGCTGCTTGTGCCTCAAAATCAGCTCTTCAAAGCTCCGTTACTTTATGCCTGAGCATGCAAACAGCCCTGCATGTGGCAAGGCAGGAAGTCCCTGGAAATCTCAGGGAAAGGAAGCCTAAATAACTTCTTAGATTGGAAATTTTCTCCTATTATTTAATTGGTTAGGAATGATTAGTTGAGTGAATACAGTTAATCTATTTCCACTAAAAAATAGGCCTTGCCGTCCTTTCCATAAAGGCCTTGGTGGTCATTCTAGGATAAAACTGTCATTTTTCATGTGCCTTATCCTGGCAACACTAAAGTTCATTTTGACATGTGTAGCAGTTTCATTTGGACCTCCTGTGTCAATGAAAATCCAGCACAGGAATTCTTTACCTTCCATGTCAAAGGTTTAGCTTGAGCTACTGAGAACAGGAGAGGATCTGGAGCTTGATTTTCTTGTTATCTGACTTGAGACTGTGGTGACACAGTCACAACCTGACACAGCAGGAGAGGTCCCCATCACCACCCAGAGCACCTCAGATGTTCTCCAGCACCCAACCTGCTCCTGGCTGCTGGAGGCTGCTGGATGCTCTCCCTGTTTGCTGAATACCATATAAAGTGCTCAGGCTGTGCCGAGACTGTGTTGTGCCATTTCCTATTATGGTCAGGAAAGGGAAATCCCTGTGCCCAGAGCCAAATCTCCCAGATGCCACGGCACAGCCCTGCACTGCAATGGTCCCTACAGGGGAACAGAGGCAGCTTGAGCCACCCTTGGACACAGCCCTGAGGTTAAGGCATGGCAGCAGCTGCACAGCACAAAGCACTCACATAGCATGGCAATAAAACTAATTAATTAAATAAAAAAGAACCCAACCAAAAAAATCCAACCCCAAACCACTTCTGCCCATGTCAGAAAGGACATAGGCTCATTTTTTTTTCATTGCCATGGGTTTAAAACTAACAGCCATAGGCCAGTTCAAATATCACAGTATTCCTGCAATGATGACCTCATCACTTTCTTTTGTTTTGTTTTTAATTTATTTTGTATTTTTAAGAAATTAAATTCATTGTCAAATTTCTTCTAACGACCGTTTATGAAATATGTCTCATCTTCTATTATCACATGCTATTATTTCTGCTCCAGTTCAACAGTTGGAGCATTTAGAAATAGATGAGAATTTACAAACAACCACAAAACCAACCACCAAAACCTGGATGAACAGCTCTCAGCTGGTAACCAAAGCTCTTGTCAGGTTATGTCTATATTTTTATATTAATGCCTTCATTAAACTGTAAAACAACCAGATTTTTCCCTAAATTTCCTGAAGAAATAGCCATGTAGTGAAGACATGACTATTCTGTAAAGACATCTATTTGGAACTTGAGCAATTTTTTTCAAGGAATCTCATCAGTCATCACTGTTACGTGGCGTTCATATAAGCTTTTATAAAAACATTCATCTAACACCAGTCCAAGCTTCTTCCCTGGATGTCAGTTTACCAAATTTGATGCCTACCTGAGCAGGGAAAATACTCAGATATGACAATACACAAATAAATATGAATTATAACAGTTGTTACCTCATCACAGGTAAGAGAATGTATTATGTGCTGAAAATAACTGAAGTTAAAAAGCTCTAGCATCAGATCACAGATTGCTAAATTCACATCCTTTCCAGCAGCTTGCTTTTAGAAATAATTATTTGTGCACTTGGAAACCACCCATACACATACATCCAAACATCTCTGCCTCATTTGTTATGCTGAACAGAACACAAAAAAGAGTGCTACTTGCTTAAATCCCACTAATTTCATGCAGCTGATGCCTCTGCTTCCCAGACCAGACATGGCATGTGATATTAAGCCCAGTTTTGATTTGAATTTCCTTGCAGACTTATTCAGGTCTCTTCTGCGTCGTGATCAACCCATACAAACAGCTGCCCATCTATTCAGAGAAGATTATCGACATGTACAAGGGAAAGAAGAGGCATGAGATGCCTCCTCACATCTATGCCATCGCAGACACGGCCTACAGGAGCATGCTGCAAGGTAGGACAGCTCAAAGCTGCAGTTCTTGGAAATCCCTCCCCACAACATGGAAGAAAACACCTTGTAACTCCACATGTGCTCCTGCAGGCAGCACAGCCAAGGAAAGATCTGTGACAGAGGGCAACACAGGCTTTCTAGAAGTTTCAGAGGAATTCTTTGGCAGGAACAGCAGTCCACAAACACTGTGACTCAAAAAGGAAAAACAATCCTTTTACCCATCTGTGTCGAGGCATGTGGGAAGGTTTCAAAGTCAAGCAAATAGTTTTGGCAAATACGGGCATGGAAAATGCTCCCTCTCCAACAGTGGAGACTATTCCAAAGTTAGCTGCTAGCACTGCTGGATCTGTGGCATTGCTGCTCTCTCTCCCTCCCCTCCAGCAAAGCAAATTCAAATGATGTTTTGAGGCTACTTTGCTTATAGCCTGATGTTTGGAGCCCTGAGCTGAGATGGGCTCTGTTTGCTAACGAGGATGGCAATGAGCTGTGGGAAAGCAGTCAGGCCCCAAATGGTGCTAACAAACTCTGCAAAATTCAGTATTCTCCTCCTGCAGTCACCACTGACAGACTGAGGGGCATTTGTTTTAAGAAAAAAATCATAATTTAGGAATGAATGTGCTATAGTGATGAATATATATGTCTGCAACACCTACAGACATCTCACATCATCCTTAGATGCTAGAGGAAACCAGGACTCTACAAAAGGCTTTGAAATTTAAATGCTCTCATAAGGACCCTGACCCTGCAGAAATTCTGGCTGGCAATTATGGCTCAGCAACATTCACATGCTTGGCCCTAAAGTTCCAGGCTTTCCTGTTTGGAGCTGAAGGATTTAAGGGTTTGAGGCTTATAGGTTTTAGATCTGGCAGGTGAAAACAATAAACAGCATCTCAAAATTTCAGTTTAGGAGCTAGATTAGTATTCAGTATTGATTTCTTTTGTAATATTTACACACACACACAGAACAGTGATTGTTTTGCAGAAACTAATCCATCCAAAACCCCTGTGCACTTTATCTGACTATGCAAATAAAATTGCACAGTATTTTTCTGGGCACACAGCACATTGTAATCACAAGGATTGCAGTATTTCTGTAGTTGTCTTACTTGAAATACATACCTAGAATTTACTAGGAGTTCCACTTAGTCAGTTTAGCATATCATAGATAATTTAGACTTTTCCCACAGTGAAAAAAGGTCATCCTATATGTGTGTGCCAGGCCATCAAATCCTCAGAAGTACCAGATTTCTACTGCCTGAAAATACCAATCAAACCCTGGTACAAGCAATATATTTATGCATAGTGATTAATATATACATGTGTAGTAACTGTAATGCTCACAAAATAATGCAGGTAACAATATCCTTAGAACTTCTGAAGAGTTAACTCTTGAAGCCTATTTACAGATATAAGTTGATTGCCTAATTATAACTTTGTTTCCTGACTTCAGAATCTTACATTTTCAGATATGAGTGCTGGAAATATAGCTAATTCAACTCCAAACTCAGAGAACTAGGTATCTCCTTTACAATAGCAACCTTTTATCCTTCCTATGGCTTATGTGTCATTTCTATTCTGAGACTATTTCAACTCCTTTCTTTGAGTGCCTCCCAGAAGGCAGAGATACAGTGCAGCAGAGGAGGATCAATAAAGCAACAAAAATATCCTGAAAACAGACCTTCCAATGTACTGTGTGATATAATCACAGTTATAAAAAACTTACTTGGTATAAGCTCATCCCACTAAGCTGCAGTCACGTATCTGTCCTCCCGCTCACCTCTTGAACTCTGCTCTACATGTAGCACTGTCCAGAGCTCTGAGCAGGCCCTGAAACCAAGGCAGTCTTTCCTTGGATCCTTTATTTAAGCAGGAAGCCTTGAGAGTTGCTCCACAGCAATCTTCTGGCACCTGCAGATCATTAGCAGTAGTCTGACTCAGCTGTGCAGAATACAGTACTTGTCCCTAGAAATAGGATGGGGAAAAACATCTAGGAACTGCCTGCAAGCTATCTATAGAAAAGGAAAAAACCCTTATTACTACAGCCTATGCTGAAACAGAATTGTTTTGACAGTAGGTGAGTTTTCTGCCTGATACTTGTAGCAGCATAGATCAGCTGATCCCAGCAGCACAAAGACCTGTTTCACTTTTCCTCTCTGTTTCCTGTTCCTCCTAACATGCTCTCCTGAGCAGCTGTGAAGCCACTGGAGCTAGCTTGCCTGTGCTATGGCCATTAACTGCACCTAGAACAGCCTGGGTTCAGCTGTGCCTCCCAGGCTGAGTGCTGGAGGGAGGAGGCAGAAGAGTGCATGCTTCTATCTATTCATTTTTTTTGGTGCTCAGAATAATTTCTGACCCTACCAACTCCTTGGGAAGCTTTACTCCCTGCTATTCATGTACCCCCTTTGCATGGAATTCTGACAGCAGAGAGGAGGGGGAGAGCAAGTAGAAAAAAATGAGAAGGGAGTAGATGATCAGTTGAACCTTTAAGAGAATGCTCTTTAATCACCTCCCATCCTGCCCACGCACAGCTGGCACAGCAGCTGGGGGCCAGCCCCACCAGAGCTTGCATCACAAACACAGGACACCCATGCTTTACTTGCACATGCTGTTTTGGAGTCTTTCCATCTCTGAAGAGGGCCCCAGCTGGTTTTAAAGCTGTGCTTTTGTTTGTAAAAACCTACTCATGTTTTGTGCATCAAACTAAACCAAACCTCAAAATAACTCGGGTCATTCAGCCAAATTCTGTTCACATTGGAGTGGTGAAAGTGGGCGTCAACGTGATTCTCTGTGTGTGCACGCAACATGTATAGGCACAGAGAGCTTCATGGGGTTTTGTGAGCATATTTGCAAATGGAATATAAACAAAAGTTCTTACTCATAAACATGGTCCAGGGCATTAAATGTTTTCCTTGTGAAACTTCAGTACTGCTCCTTATCTGGAAACTTGCATAGTTTCTTCTTGCCAAAGGAAAATATGTCTTAGATTCATGAGACTGAAGAGTTACATTCTGGTACTCCATGACCACAGCCACTTGGCCCAGAGTAAACAGTTTGTACAGATGTCTCAGGGAACCTTTATCTCTTGGTGAATCAAGCCTCCATGTCTGCAGATCACTGGTCCTACTGCAGGTTCATCATCTGGGAGTTGCAGCCCTTCATACGCTCACCCTCTCCTCTGTTGGCACAAACATCCAGCAAAACACATGAGCTATGCACACTGCATTCCTCCTCTGCTTTAGAGACTTACTTGGTTAATGTATTCATTAGGGATGATGGTTAAGTCCCATTAAAGTTGTTCTAATAAAAACACTTAGCCTCAGTTAACAATGATCAGATAATTGGACTTTCTTCCAAAGCTGACATCTCACAGGGCACAGGAATTATCAGCGATGTTGGCTGGGAAAAGATAAAATTTCCACTTGTTACAAGTGGTTCTGAGCACCCTTTATCAAATCACAGTCATGCTGTCTCATGCTCAGCCAGGGTTGCTGAATGTCTTGTCAAATCTACTGCTCACCATGCCACTAATGCTGTATGATTATTGCCCAGGCACACACACTGATGCTCATTTCCAGGCAGAACAAGAATAAACTTTAATTTTCTTTAATCTATAAGACTAAGAGAATATATAACATTCTACAAGAGCATTTTGTGTGTGCCTCCTGAGGAGCTGCCACACTGAACTGGCCCCCACTGACTGTCTTTACAGACAAGCTAGCTGACTACTACTACAGCTAGAGACTGCAATCATAAAACATTCCCTGTGCTCCTGCACCCACCTCTCTCTCCCATGTTTCAGCTCCCCAGTGGCACAGTTGCCATGTGAAGGACTCAACCCTCAGTCCAACTCTTGCACTGCCAGCACCAGTGTTCAGACAGACATGATGCAAAACTGCTCCAGGTGAAAACCACCCCAGGCTTTTTGCTGATTTAGTTTTAAGGTGGCTCACTCTCTCCTGGTGTACAGTGTGGCTGTATGAATGCTGCCACAGCAGCAAGGAGAGGGCAGTGCAGGCCAGGGAAGAGGAGCTGGAGGTGAGTGGATGACTCCTTCCTGCAGCACTGCCAGCTTCCAGTGATGGTGGAGCTGAGACACTGGTCCAGTAAGGAGGAGTAACTCTGCTGCCTTCTGTCATCTTCCTTGCATGCAGCCAACAAAAAAAAAAAAAAAACGACAGACAATACAAATGTGAAAAGTCAGGTTACATAGCAGTAGTAACAGATACAAAGTTTTCATGTAGTTGCTTAGGCTTTTTTTAAGTCCTCTGGCAATAAATCATCACGGAGAAGATATATTACAGCTTTCTGCAGTTTTGAGACTATTTTCTGCAGAGCCATTTTTATGCAAGCTGGAGTTAAAGATGGACAAACAAACAACCTGATAGTTACTTGGAGGTATGGGACAAAGTTCCCAAGATCTTAGAAAAGGAGGCTCCTGTGAGAAGCCATCTGTTTACTGTGTCCTTAGCAGGACTGCACAGAAATGTCCCCTTTAGGCAGTGTGGTTATTAACAAATGTAAAGGAGCAGCAAGCGAGTGGTGGAACATGGTTTCAGTCTGGGTTTTTTTCCTTTTATGGTAAAGCTGCCAACTTGCTGCTTCATTGTGATAAACCATCTGATTTTGTTTGTGATTAAGCAGAGCTAACTGGTCTAACAGGAACAGAGGGGCAAGGATTCTTACAAGCAATCTGGAGGTGTTTGGTGCAAAAGCTAAGCAGATTCCAGAAAGGAAAAAAAAAGTCAGCTGCATGTTTAGGAAAACTGGTGAGGTTTAGAATGTAAAGGTAGATCCCTATGCTATTAAAAACTGAGGAGAGAATAAAAAATTGTTCAAAACATCTCATATAACACACAGTAGGTTGATATGATACTCTTCCAGGTAGTGCCAATTTTTAAAAAAAGGCATTAACCAAAAAGATATTAGAATATAGCAGATATATTGTGTTACTTGTTAAACCCCAGGAATTATGTTTAAGGAGTTTTATTTCTGAAAATCATTCTCTTCTGATAGATCTAACCACATAAACTTGCAGATTCCCAAAATAGGGCACAGTCCTTTCTGTATGGGATAAAATATTCCTGAACAGAAATGGGATTAATCAAACAGCAGAGCCTTTGAAAGTAAATGAGACCAGAATCTGCAGCTTGAGTCATAACACAATCGGATTAGATTTCCTCATAATTTCCTCCTTAGTGCTGCAATTAGTTGGAACTGCTGAGGGAGATAGAATAACATCTGGAATTCTCCCTCCACAAGTGAGCATAGGATAGTTTGTCAGCATGAGGTTCCTCCCATGATTAACCTATCCCAGAGGGCATTTGGTGCAACTCCTGACCTTCCTAATCCTTCTTCCACTCTTACATGTCCCAAAGCTGCCCATACACACACACTCCTGCAAACCCCTGTGGCTGGGCCCTTCAGGATACACCTCCAGGGGGTTCACTTCATGAGGAGCAAAAGAAGTGCAGCAATGGGCAGCAAAGAGTAGTGAGAAAATACTTGGCTTGGAGGAGACCAACTTTTTCTAATGTTCCCTGAGCTCAGAAATTCCACTGGCAACTCTGTATCAAGGAGTCACTTTTATTTTCTTTATGGTATTTATGGGTTTGTGATGCAATATCAGTATCTGCCTATTTACACAACAGAGTATTTTTAGCAAAAATTCTACCGTGTTCTCACTTTTTTAACGTAAAAGAAAGCCTAGATCATATCCTGCAGTGAAAAACAAACATGGCTCACAGCTCCTCTCCTCCCAAATGTTTATGTGGAAGAGTCCTGCTGTGCTGATTGCTGACAAATATCTCCAATAGAAATGTAATGAGTCATTCTGTACCAATTTACTGAGTAAAGCAGTTAAGTGGCACTATTTGTTGTGTGCATGATCAATAAAGCAGTTAATGTTACAGCTACTGGGGAACTGGGAGTAAAACAGTTGTTTAATATCAATCCAAGCCATAACAGAATTCTCTACTGCTTTTCCTAGACTGGTTGTGGTCCAGAGGCAGCAATTACAACTTGCAAGTTTAATGGGTTCAGTTTGTCTCTGTTATCTTTACACAGTATAGAAATTTTATGTCTCTCGTGGTGCTTATGACATACAGGGTCAGCCCCAGGGGCAAGTGACAGACAGATACTCCTGCAAGTCACCCCACACATGGAATAAAAGGAAGAAGTTCCTGTCTTAATCTCTGACCAGAGGCTCCACTGGGCTAGTACTGGCTCTGCATTTGATAGCTAATGCCAAACCATACAGAAAGTTGGTTTCTGCCTTAATTATCAGCCTCAAATCTCAGATTTCTAAACTATGCATTTCAAAAATGTATTTGACCTGCCTGGGAATTTATTTTCCTCAGTCAAAGAAAGACCAACTTCAGCACTGGGGCTAGTTGCTCAGAGATTTGTTCGATTCTACTTCCAAGTAGCGCCAAGGGTAGAGATACCACACCTCTCTGGGAAACTTGTCCCAATATTTGACAAGTGAAAAATTGGTTCTGCTTTTTGGTAGAAGGTAAAGAGAAAACTCTAACTCCAAAAAGCATAAGCATGGAGGATCACTCCAAGGGCAGGTTATGGAGCTGGGATATGGACTAGGTCATAGAACCAGTTTCCTGCAGCATTACAGTGTAGTGTCAGAAACCTCACATGCCTCACATAGTAGAAATGGAGATTTTAGTTCTTCTTTTATAAACTTGATCCAAAATGTGTTTGATGGTCCTGTTCATGGTAAAAAACATGAAGAATACTTATGTACTTTGTAGACATGCTCTTGTAAAATCTGTGAAGTATCTTGTTTATCTTATTCTTTGGAGAATATCTCAAATTCCTTGTCTTCTTGATAAAAGGCATCTCTCAGTCTGAAATGAAATAGACAGTACATTATTCAGGTATTTGAACTACTGTGCTTTCAAAATTCAAAGCTTTGCATGACTAGCTTAGAACATTTTAGTTTTTGATGCCTTATCTGTCCAGGCTTTGCCTCAAGTGGGCTGCCAGCCATAATTCATAAGCATAGTGAAAACTTGAGTTTCAGATTGGAAATTTTGTTATAATCTTCTTATAGAGAGCCTGATCTTTTTGCTGTCCTCATTACAGTTCATCTCTAATGGAATTTGCAAAAACTATTTTCGACCTCTTAACCTTTTGTTCATTTTTTGTACAAAATATTTCCATTAGAGGTGGTTATTTAAATGCAAGGGCAAATTAAATAAATAAGATGCGAATTCAGTAATCATAGACAGCCAGATTTTGGAAGATCTAGGCTGTTCAATGTAAATCCTTATAAATATAAGTGCTTCTGTCAGAAAAAACATTTTTACAGTTCATCTCTAATGGAATTTGCAAAAACTATTTTCGACCTCTTAACCTTTTGTTCATTTTTTGTACAAAATATTTCCATTAGAGGTGGTTATTTAAATGCAAGGGCAAATTAAATAAATAAGATGCGAATTCAGTAATCATAGACAGCCAGATTTTGGAAGATCTAGGCTGTTCAATGTAAATCCTTATAAATATAAGTGCTCCTTAATTAATGGATGACTTTTCTTTATTCACAGATCGAGAAGACCAGTCTATCCTGTGCACGTAAGTAAACATCTATTTTGGTATATCTCAATGTTACAATGTCTTTCTTTATTCAAAATTGATTCAAATTCTGATGGAACAGATATATTCTCCTCACCTTCAGTAAGCTTCAACTCCAGTCCTAAATCTACTCCAGCAGATATACCTGTTCACAAAATAGAAAGCAGGTCGGGAGTCTTCAATGCACAAATCATTTCATTTCATTGACTTTCTGAATTTAGAGATGTCAGAGTTCACAGTGAACAGCTGGGGAGTGTGGTTGTGAAACTGTGAGCAGAGAGGATAAGGCATTTTAAAAGGTTCCTAGAGGAAGCTAAGCTGAGCTGAAAGAACTGAGGAACACTGAGCATCCTGGATATTTCCTGAGCTGCTTTTCACTGTTAGCTATTGGTGACTCCCCACAGCTTCCTAATGCAGTTATCATTGTTGAAAAGTGTGACCTTTGAGGATAAGGCATTTTAAAAGGTTCCTAGAGGAAGCTAAGCTGAGCTGAAAGAACTGAGGAACACTGAGCATCCTGGATATTTCCTGAGCTGCTTTTCACTGTTAGCTATTGGTGACTCCCCACAGCTTCCTAATGCTGTTATCACTGTTGAAAAGTGTGATCTTCGTGAGTGTTGTTTTGTGCTGTTAGCACATGCTGAAGCTGGAACGGGGCAGGTTTGGTGCCTCCTGCAGCCTGCAGAGCCAGGGGTGTGTTGCCCAAGAGGGCTCAGCAGCACCAAGTGGGCTGGAGCTCTCTGCAGTCTCTGCAACAGGGCCAGCCCCATTCTGAACTCTCTGATGTTTCTGTGTCCTGACATGCTGAAGGGAAGGCAAAACTCCTTGAGCTTTGACTTGCCAGTGCTCAGACAGCAGCAGCGTGAGGGAGTTCAGCTGCTGTGTCATGGGTCAGGCAGTGATTTTGTTGCCACAAGCTTTGCTGTGCACTACTTATTACTCCACAAATTCCACTGGTTTATCATTCCTGCCTATTTTGAAAAGTCACTCAGACTGTTGAATAGGAGAGAGATCTCCTATTTGACCTTCAATTTTGACCATTTTTCCATTCCTCTATTGCTAGTTAGCTGGATTTATTTGCTTAAATGCCATCAAGGATGCTTTTGACAAAATTTTCTGCATGTTAAGTTAGGCATTTTCCAGTTTTCCTCATCGACCTGTCTTATTGTGGGGTTATCATATTTTAGCCACTTCCTGAAAAGAGTGGGTAGAGTGTTTTCTAGAAAGCAGATGTGGCTAAGACGACTGTGCACAAGTTTCAGTAACAAAAAAACTACCTTAAATGAATGAGAAAAAAACCTGACCAAAATTCTGACTGTTTGGGGAAATGCGAAGTCTGTGAAAACAAATGCTTGTTAAACACAGGATTTGTACATATGATCAAATACTTTTTCATGACCTTTTACTTTTTTTAAAATGTGCATTTAGTTTGAATGGCTTCTGGAAAAACTGGGAAGTAGCAGGGTGCTACTTCCACTTAATTTGATACAGTAACAGACAAAACATTGTGTGAGGCAGTGATTATCCTGCCCTTTTCCTATTCCTCCCCTCTCTCTTTTCAGGCAAACTCTCCAGAGTCTCACCCAGCCATGGGATTTTCACCTACTTTCTCCCCTGACACATGTCAAGAACCAAACTCACCCAGAACATCTCCAAACTGCAAAGCCCCATTAGTCAAAAGTCTCCTCCATGAGAGAGCTAAATTCTTTTCTTTCCCAGCTCAGTAAATCTCAAAGGCTGGAGCTGGCAGGCATTGCTGCCTGGCCCCTCTCCCATACAGATATCTCGGGTAGCTTTAGACCCAGGGTGGAGCTTGGTGCTGAACCAGCTCAGGCTCTTTTGGGAACTGTTTGGTAAGTAAATTTGTAGGATCAGTGGGCTGGCTCCTGACACGGGGCTCTAGTGGGGTACAGCTGCTCTGGGACAAAGATTTTCATTATCCTTGCTCATCTCATACTGCAAGGACAAAGCCTGCCAAGCCCTAATGTGATTTAGAGCACCTCATTGACTGCTCTGAGCTCTGAGGCTTCCTGCAGTGCCAGCACAGCCAGATTAAGAGATGTGTGAACGGGCAATCTTTGTGGTTCATTGCTTGCTGAAATAAATTCTGCTGTTACTTTTTATATGTTTCCAAAAGTGGAATTAAGCTAAGTCTCATATCATAATAGTAACACAGAAAGTTTTCAAGTTTTCAACAACTAAAATAAATACACCCTTTAAATCAATTTTTCCCAGTTATTCTCAAACTTAAAAGAGTCCTAGATACACCACAGGCTCAACCCAGTGGGGCCAATTTGCTAGTCTCACCTTACCCTGATTTGGACACCTATTCTAGCTGGGATAATTTTCATTTAACGCGCAGGTAATGGAGTCAGGGAGGATTTAGTAGCTCACGTGGTACAAAAAGTCTATTACAGCTGACACACACACACACACACATATATATGAGCACTATATATGTGAGCTTTAAATCCTGCACTGAGTTCCTAAAACAATGCCTGGCATGAAATGAGAGGTTTCAGTTAAAGAATGATCAGTCTACTCCCAAAAGATGATGATCAGGACAGTGCTAACAGCATTTATATGGAAGCATCTGTTTTGTCTGCTTCAAAAGCAAATTAAAGCCCCAAAGGCTGTTCAGCCTGGGGAAGAGAAGACTGCATGGAGACCTCATAGCAACTTTTCAGTATCTGAAGGGCCTTCAAGGAGCTGGAGAGGGACTTTGTGTTAGGAACAGCAGTGATAGGACAAGGAGAAATGGGTTCAAACTGAAGAAGGGAAAGTCTAGGTTGGATGTGAGAAGAAAGTTTTTTCCTGTGAGGGTGGTGAGACACTGGCACAGGTTGCCCAGGGAGGCTGTGGCTGCCCCAACCCTGTCAGTGTTCAAGACCAGGCTGGATGAGCCTTGAGCAACCTGATCTAGTGAGGAGGTGTCCCTGCCCAGGGCAGGGGATTGGGACTAGAAGATGTCCATTCCAAACCTTAAATTCTATGATTCTATGAAAGTCTATCTGCAGAAAAGAGGAAAACCCTCAGTCTGTGCAGAAGCAAAGAGTTAAGGATGAAAGAACAGAACAACATGTTAAGTAACTTTAGCAGTACAGTATGATGGGATAATTACAAGGAAAATGATGCCATATATGGTAATACTCACAGGGATTCAGGGGAAAGCCAAATGATGGGCACTGCTGTCCTGGGAGAAAGGAAATGCAATTCATGGAGTGATGAACTACAAATAACCTTTAATAAAATGGAATAGTTCAAAGCCCAGGGTTTGTTTTAAGAAAGTTGTTTGGGTTGTTTTTTTTCCAAAGAAACAAAGTTGTAAGGTGGATTTATTTGAAAACTTTGTATGCATATGCCTTCACATTGGTGTGCTTGGCTTGGAATTGTTCCCAGGACACTTAATTTTTATCAGTAAAACAGAGAGATGTTTTAGCACTGAAGCTCAGGCAGAGATGAATCTAACCTCTAAACTGTGCAAATTAACCCAGAAAAGAAATTTATTCATCTCCATTATTGCTGGTTAAAACTCTAAAAGCCAGAAGAAACTTATCATTGTGTCATACCTCAGGCAGGAATTGTTTTTGGTTTCCTAAGGTTTATATCAGTGTCATTTTGTCTTGAAAGTTCTGCCCAGCACTTACCCATGGTTTTATGTCCATTTATCACTAGTCCCTTGGTAGGGAAAATTAACTCCTGTATTTCCTAATTAGGAAAAGAAGCAGAGCTGCAATGGATCCAGCTAAATAGTTTCAGATTTGAAAGAGCTGACAAATATCCATGGGATTCTTGAATATATTATTTTGTTTAATCCATTTTTGTTTAGATCCAAAGAATAATAAGTCCAATTTAGATTTAGATTTTTGCTCTCCTCACAGCACTATCTGGATAGGATTGAAAGAACTAGTTTTTTACATCCACACCCACTTAAACACCTTCTCTGACTGCTGAACAGGGCAGTATAAAAATATTTTTGTCTATATTATCATCAGAACCAGAAGTACCTGAAAGACATAAGACAATGTAACACTTAGAGAGGGAACATAGGCTGGAAGTGTTCTGTTGAGAAAAGACTGTGTATATCTGTACTTTGAAAACCACTCTTACTTTAAGAGAGGGCATAAGAGTTGTAAATAAACTTAACCCTGGAAACCTTCCGGGAGACAAAAGTTACCACTGCCCTCCTGCCCTCCTGCTTCCCAAGGGACACTGCATGGAGCAGAGCCAGGATGCCAGTTCTGCTGCTCAGACATCACCCCATATGAGATGTCCCTACTACCCAGTCAGCAGGGCACCTCAGGCAGCCCCAGTCTTGGTCCCAGTGAATTCAAGGAGCATCTGAACACAGAGTTCAGACAAGGCAGGACCATTCACTTTTTCTCCCCACTGATACAAGCTCTTAGTCTGCTTTAATACCAGACTCTCAGGAGATAAAACCATTGTATTACTGCTGATGTTTTTTCTTACTGCTGTACCACATCACAGTTAATGTTGTATTTTTTGATCCTAGAATATAAGCAGACCCTGCCAGATCCACTTCTCATAAATGTTCAGATGCTGCCAAAGCAAGATGAACTGCTGTTCAAAAATGCATCATGTTTTAGGATTCCCTTAAATGGCCCAATGGCCACTCAAAACACTAACAGGGCAGAGATGCAGCTCTGATAATGAATTCTTTGCATGCTGAAGTCAGGTGGATTTGGAGAGATGGTGTTCTGGGGTAAATAATAACCGAGCCAGGCAGTTTCCAGTCCTGTTTTTAAACACTAAATACATCACATGGCAGCATTACCTACCTTCTTTTGTGTTATTTTCTTTCCCTTCAGAGGTGAATCTGGTGCTGGCAAGACAGAAAATACCAAAAAGGTCATTCAGTACCTGGCTGTTGTTGCTTCATCACATAAGGGCAAAAAGGACACCAGCGTCACTGTAAGTGAGCTCTTCCCTATCCAAATCTCCTTCAGGCTCTTAGGGCTGTGCTGAGGTGACTGAGCTAACAGAAAATCAGTTTGACAACACTGTGGCTTGTCAAGCACTCAACATAGTAGGAGTACACAATTACATCATAGCTCAATGTTTATGGAAAAAAAAATTTGTTTGACACAATCTTAGACAGCAAATCAGCATGTACTTTGGGAAAAGAGAAATATTCATAGCTTTCCCTATGCATAGCTCCTATTTATATCCTAGCATGAAGGCTTTGAAATCTGCAAGGGCTTGGGTCCTTACTTTACCCTTGGCCTCTGGCAACCAAGAAGTTTGGGAAAGCCTGTAACTAACACATCTCCAACTGCATCCCAAAAATGTATACCAGCATTTAAACTCCCAAAGTTTTGATTGGCTTTGTTAGTGAGTTTTCTTACTACCTAGCAAAGAGTCCCACTATAAAACTTGTCTTTTAGCTAATCTGTCAGAGAGAACAAGTTCAAAAGGCACAATTTTTTATACGTAATTTGGTCCTTCAAAATTTGTAACAGTCTTTCCTTAGAGACTAAAGTTCATTTCCTTAGTTTGAACCATAATATGAGTTTATACCTGGAGATCATTATTATGGCTGAAGCTCTCAGATGTCTTTGCTGTTATCAATGATACAATGATACATCATTTTCAGCCTTTCAAATATTACTCAAACTTCTGAAAAAAAAAAAAAAGCAGCAATTCATTTCTATTGACAAAACAGGTTTAATTTGGGAAGGCATTTCAATGTGTCCTGAATCCAAAATGAGTAATTAGTAGGGTAGTGGAAAATGAAGTAAAAATCTCATGATCCCACCAGTGCTGGGTTTCACAGCTGCCCTTGCCCAGCCTGTGTGCCAGCAGACAGAGGACTCCAGAGCACAGGGTGTGCAGCCTGACCTCTTTCATCACAAATAATTGGGGGTTTAATAATCAATAATTGGTACAGTGGATTCTGCTTTGGGGCAGGGGAGGGAGTAGATGCCCTTTTGGGTAGTATTTTCTAGGTATCTGTGAATAAATTTAATGGAAACAGTCTAAAAGCTTATTTAATGCTTAATTCCCTTGTTTAATGTTCATGCAAAAAGATTATCTCTTCCTACTGAGTCCTCACTCAGTGACTGGGGGAAACAAACTTGTGGTATCAAGGCCATTCCTAACAGGCATGAAACTGCAGTTGCTGCTGACTCCTCTGGGGAATTACATGAGTCTCAGGATCAAATTTGCCCTGAGACAGACCTGAAGGGAGCTATCTGTCAGATAGGAGCTGAAAGTAAAATTTGTTCTATAACATGCTGACAAATAGAGATTCAGTGATTGGAACTACTGACACTGCAATTTCAGTCATTAAATAATAATGACTAGCAAAATGCCTCAGTTGCACCAGAGAAGAACTAGGGATTTACCATACAAATATTTATCCTTGTCTGATCCTGGGAGACTAACCTGGGATTGGAGCCAAATCCCATCCCTTTTCTTCAGGGTTTTTTATTTCCTCCAGTTAAAATGCTCCATATATGTTAATGGTATTTATACTCTTGGTGTGTCTGCAATAGGTTGTTTGTATCTGTATTCCTGGTTTATTGCATGGAAACTGTGTATTGGTTATTTTAATACAGGAAAAAAACAATAAACATGTCTGTCTAATGGAAATGATACTGACACTTGTTTTATACCATGTTATTCAATACAGCAAGGTCCATCTTTTGCTTACGTGAGTAACTGAGACTGTTTGGTGTGTGTTTAAGGCACGGAGTGTAGACCTGCATGCTATTGTTGCACCCCAAAAATTTAAGAGAGACTTTGTTGAAATATGTTGTATGATATGATAAAAAGCAACAATAGCACCAAATGCTCTCACAAATCAACCCTAACCGTGTCAGGCTCCATGGTAAAGAATGAGGTCTGACACAGGCAGGGTTATCTTTCAAATATCACTCTCTTCTCTGTGTGTGTGTTCAAATTGCCATAGTCTGAATTACATTTCCCACGATCCTGGAAGAGCCACTCAGCCTGAAATGAAGCAACATGACTTCTGAATGAAATACCCAAATGCTTTCTGTGCTTCAGGTTGAACTTTTTAGGACTGTTGTGAAATAATCCCTAAACTCACAGTGTTTGATTTGTTTGGCTGCATGCTTTCCGTCTGTTATTGCTTTTGGGTTTACATTTTCATGTAGCTGGTGAGAATTGTTCACATTCACAAGAGTTAGCATGTTCTTAGCTTGCTGCTATGATGTGTAACAGAGCCATTCCCACTGCAGCATGTGTCTGCAGGTGTGTTGCAGCAGTTTCTGACAGGCCCTCACGGGCTCTCCTCGGTTGTGGTGTGCCATACCAGCACACTGATGCTTTGGGAACACAGGCAGGTTTGCTGGCATATTCTTTGTGTTTCTGTGCCAGAAAAATAGACTTTAATTTTTCATGGGGTCTTTTTTTCCCCCATTCTGACTGCTGCCTCTCACACTTCAGCTATGACAACGGGTAATGCATTACCCCTTAGTTAATTTAGTACTTCCTTGACAATCTCCCTGCAAAACTCCTTCATGGCTGTCATAGACACCTCTGTGGAGTTCAGTGGACTTAGAGCTGCACACAGTGATGATCATTTGGAGTTATAGTTTTATACCCCCAGTTTATGGCATGGTTCAGCCCTCACTAGAAATAGATGGTTTAACAGACAAGGCTCTATTTTACCTATCACCATCTGATTTCAGCAACAGCCTTCACTTACCCTGGAGTTTTCAGTCCACAGAGTGTAACTGGAAACTGGTGCTCACTATAGAGAATCTTCAGGGACTTCATTACTTATTCTAGGATTTCTGTATTAGCTTGTTTGAAAACCTTCCTTTCCTCTTCCTCCAACTCTTGGGTAGTAGCTTTTCCATGATATTTTTGAGGCAGCTCTCACCATTGCCATGGAAGTTACAAGACAATCAGGAGTGACACTTGAGAAAAAGTTACCATTTTTGCACACTAATTGGGAAGCACTTTCATTTTCCAAATTATTTCCTAGATTTAACCTAAATATTCCCTTGTTTTCTAATTAAAATGATTTAAATTCTATCATATTATCTATCAGGGGCTTTTTCCTTTTCAGGGTGAGTTATTTGAAATAATGCATGCTACTGCAGAGTAGTACTCAAGGAATAGGTTGACAAGAAGCAAATGTGAAAGTGAGTGATCTCATAGGACTGAGCTGAATGAAAAGTTCAGAAAAGCTGTATACATAAGCATAGGATTTTTTCAACTTCACTGACTTGTTTAGGGTATTAAATGCATGCTTGTTTCATTGCATGGTTTATTTCCTTAGCAATTACCAATCACAATTAACTATATAATACGTAGTTCGTGTGTTTGCATGAGAATTCATTATCCTAGTTTGAGATAAATCAATGCAATTCCATATTTAACCTAAATAGGCTTGCATGGACCATTATTAATGGACTTGATGAAATCTGCTTTGTAGCTTTGTGCTGTATTACATTAAAAAGTTCTTCTAATTACATTGTCATTTGCTAGCAAAGGATCTCAATGAACTAACTTGAAGAAAACATGCTAGAGGTTCCTTTCAAAATATCCCTTCTAAAATTTATATTAAGCCAGAAAAAATAATTGACACTGAATGACCCTTTTTGTAAGAAAGGCCAGTCATGATGCTCAACAGATTAATAGAGTTTGATCTGTCACAGGCAACAGGGCTGGAAAAGGGTCATGTATAGGGCAGCAGTCAACTGCACAAATATATTAACAGCAAGATTAACGGAGAATGAAACCAAATCCACATGAAGTGCAGCATTCATCAAAAAAAGTTAGAGACTTAAATTAAATTTCACCTTTCTCTCCAGTGTACATGTGTTGATTTTCATTAAATAATTATGAAGATTAGTGTTAACTGCTCCTGAATGAATTTTAGGGTGAGCTGGAAAAGCAGCTTCTACAGGCAAACCCCATTCTTGAAGCTTTTGGAAATGCCAAAACTGTGAAGAATGACAACTCCTCCAGATTTGTAAGTAGGAGAAATCCAGTTGGGTCTATGTGTGGGGGAGGCACAACACCTCTTAAAAACCAACGTACAGACAGGGGCTCCCATCAGGATTTCTCTCTAAAGAGAGTTTTAAAACTAATCCCTTAAAAACAGTTTAGAATTCCCCTCTGAAATAGGAATTTGGCCTGACAGAGGATTAAAGATCAAGCTCAGACTTTACAGTACCATTGTCCTCTCAAAATTTAGCAGTCTATGTGTGACCTGTCAGAGTCAATTCCTGCTCCATGACATATCCACCTTCAGAATATTTGCAAACAAAATCTCTACTTTCTTTTTCTTTGCACCATTGTTGAATATATACCTGATAAGGTGTAACTGTAATGGTTAATACATTAAAAACTGCCAGATAAAAAGAACAAAAAGTCATACAGCTTTGAGTCAGAACATTGTGAGCTGAAGGCTGTAGCTATCTGATACCACTTCTTTCTGGGTGTGCTGCCAGATGCCTGTTTTCCCTGCAGACCCTCCTCTCCCACCTCTGCTCTCTCCTTACAAAGTTCAGGGATCCATGCAGACCAACCTTAGCAGATGGAGTTACATGGATCCAATGCTATTCCCTCACTGACCCTGTGGAAATCAGCGTAGAAAACAGATGTTGTCATACCCCAGCTTCCAAAGTCTAGTCCAGTTGGGACAACTCTATTCCCTTTCAGTGCCTCAACAAAATGTGGAGGAGAATCTGCACAGGGGGAATTTCAGAGAAATTCACTTCTTTTCATGGGTTGCCCCGGCAGGAGGGAAACAAATATGTTAGTTTTAGGAGAATGATGTATATGTGTTATGGAACAGGCTAAATACTAACATTGGACAACCTGACATAACCTGCAAGAACAGCCCAATCTAGATCTTCTTTTCATTCACAGGGTAAATTCATCCGTATCAACTTTGACGTGACAGGCTACATCGTGGGAGCAAACATTGAGACTTGTATCCTTTGCAGTGAGCTGCACTGGAAGCTAACGAGGCTGAGGACAAAGCAGTAAGATAAGCAAGCTGCACTGCATGTCTCAGAAAGGCAAATACTGCTGAGGCTGGTATCAGACCTATATAAGACCTTATCTCTTGGGTGTAGCATCAAACAGCTCATCTCTTTGCTCTTATTTTGACTCCTGATCTTTAGAAAACCATCATGTTTTAATATTTTTATTAAATTATTAACTGAATTTTATTAATTATTGACTGAAGTTTGATCTATAGCACTACAGTCTTTGAAGAGTGAATAACTGACTAGTATTGAAATACTCACACTATTGCCAAATTCATTTTTAGTAGTTTATACTCACAAAAATGGACCATAAATAAAGCTTGATTTTATTGCTTTTATACCTACACTGCTGGTATCAAGACATTTTTTTTCTAGCAGCCCCACTTATGTTGAAGGAATCATATTGGTACTACATTTCCAAAGCAGTGTGAATTGCATTGTGAATACTATTTTTATATCTCTGATTTTAGAAGCATTTATATCTGCTGTGCTTATTACCTTGATTACCAGCATTTACCATGCAGCAAGAGGCAGGAAATGGATCTGCTTATTGTGCTAAGAATTATACCAACACTGTGGCTCCTGCCACAGAATTAGATGCAGTTAGAGTCAGACAAGCTCGTGGCAAATATTTTGACAATGCTAGTGATGGTTCTGAGGCTGATGGAACAATTAAGGAAGGACTGAAATAAGCTATTGATTTTTTTAACACACTTGACAAACAGATTTGCTTGAAAAATCCCGTGCTATTCGTCAGTCTAAAGATGAGAGAACCTTCCACATCTTTTACTATTTGATTGCTGGAGCTACTGAACAAATGAGAAGTAAGTTACTAATGATTCTTTCATCTCATTGAACTGTCTGAGCAATGGCTTACCTAAGTAATTTGTCTTCATTTCTTTAATTGTATGCCCTTCAATCCTTTCTATAAATGAACAGAAATAATTCTCTCAAGTGAATGATAAGAAAGTGTCAATTGATGTCAACCTGTTTGAGGCATGTTGTTTGCAGGTTACAGGATATTTCCATTTATAGGAGATGTAGACCCATTCAGATATCATGATATCATCATACCAAGCAGATAAATTGGGGAGAGTTATTAACTGCTTTACACAAAGGAAATTGGGGTTTTCAATATAAATATTGTCTTGTGGCTTTAATAGAAATTAGGAGAATGTCTTTCCCACAGCACATTATTACACTGTGAAACCCATAACTTCAGAATGTTGAGAAGGTGCAAAGTATGAGTGGATCAATAAAAGGATTAGTCACAATAAGTACTGGAATATCATGGTTCAAATATGACACATTTCCCTAAATTACTGATTGCCAAAGAATGTATAAAGCAATGGATAATTCTATATTTTCCCTGATTTTTATGTTCCTAACCTAAGAATCTGTCATTGGCTGTAGAAAAGGGCTGAAGAGCCTTTCAGTTTGGCCCACTTTGGTTGTTTCCTCATTCCATTCTTATTATTACCTGCTATGAATCCCCATAGGGAGAGGCAGAATCCTGGTAGGTTGCACATGGCATTAAATAAAAGAATTTTGGAAAGAATGGCTCAGATTTGCATCCATAGGGTGCAAAATTACACCAAGATGCAGGGACATTCCCCAGCCACTAATGAAAACTAAAATCTTAGCACTATCAACCCTGCTAAATAATGAGTTATTTTGAAAATATTTGTGTACCACAAAACCCTAAACTCCTCATAAAAGTAGAGCCTTCCTTTGGTGAAAACACTGGGGTTTTTTTCTGTTGTTCATTAGGAGAATTCAGGAACCAAGAGCATTAAGTGATGCACTTAAGTAAAGATTTCCTTCTTCTTTTTAGATGATCTGTTGCTGGAAGGCTTCAACAATTACACCTTTCTATCTAGTGGCTATGTGCCTATTCCTTCTCAACAAGATGATGAGATGTTCCAGGAGACCTTGGAAGCCATGAAAATTATGGGCTTTACTGAAGAGGAACAGATAGGTAAGAATTGTTAGCAATGTTGTATTCAAGATACAGGTCTGCAAGTGACACTATATAGAGATGCTAATGCAGAGGTTAATTCTGTTCAGAATAATTACTTTGCAAAATATGTATATGAAGATGCTACATTCACATAAGAAAATTAAGATTATTTAGATTTATGCCCATGTTTCTCTGGAGAAGTGTGATCTTGCATGAATAGCCAGCTGGAGGATTCTCAATGTACCCATGTTATTTAACCTCTTTGTCTCTTATTTCTGCTGTGTAAAACTATTTCCAGCTGTTTCCTAGCCACTGCTTCTAAGAAGTGCACTGTGAATTAATGCCCATAGATTTTCCTCCTTCAGAAGGTATTAGATTAATTAGAGTCATAGAATTATAGAATCAACTGGGTTGGAAAAGGCCTCAAAGTTCATCAAGTCCAACCCTACCATGGTTACTAGACCATGGCACTAAGTGCCACATCCAGTCTCATCCTAAAATCCTCCAGGGATGGTGAATCCACCACCTCCCTGGACAGCACATTCCAATGCCTGATCACTCTCTCCATAAAACAGACTGGCAGTAAAGACAGTGAAATTGCTGTCTTAGATCCATGACACAAAACACTACCAGCCTCACTGGAATCACTGTCACCTTTGTAATAAACAGGATTATATTTCAGGAAGTCTTGTGAGCATTAGGGTGACTGTACTTGCTTTGCAAGGGGATCTAATTATGACTCATTGCTTTTAGCTTGTTAGAAAAGTTCTACTTAAAAATGATACGCCATCCTACCTTTTCCCATTGCAGCAGTGGGTATCAGTGGGAACAGCTGAAGCCAATAATGAAGTGTTTGCAAACCACCTCCTTTAGAGGCTTAAACTGGCAGCACTTGCTGGAAACAGAATGAAAGAAATATTGAAAAATCATCACCTCTATTTGAAAATAGAGTACATATCATCTAAGAGAAATTATCTCTGCGATGAACAGAAGAACTAGTGATGCCCAGGGCAGCTCTGCAGTAATTTAAGGATGGATCGAGTAAAATAACTGTTACAATATTTTGCTGTCCATCTGCATGAAGAATTGCAAGGCTTTTTATTATAAGTTTTATAAATTCTGGAAACCTGCTTGTAGGAGGAACACGACATGCACTCCTGACCCATTAGAATTTCACAGTATTGATGCAGTTGTCAGCATGCAAAAGTACCATAACACATGGTGTTTTAAAAGGTAATTTGTGTTTATGAAAGGGAAGATTTGTCACTCCCTACATAACCAAAACAGACTGAGTTCTAGCCAGATCTAACAACAGTAATGACCATTTAAAACCATTTTTTCAGAACTTTCCAACAACTAGCACAAAAAAGTTGCAAAACAAAACTGATTTATTTTTCAAAGAAATGGAATAGGCTCAAGTAGGCAATCTGTATTCACTGATTGAGAGGAAAGAGAAATAAAAACAAAGAGCATGAAACAAGTACTAATCTTGAAAATGGGAGCCTGCCAGAAACATCTCTGCATAGCTTTTACCTGTCACTGTTGCTGGGAGTGTGCAGGGCTTCAGTTAGTGCCAGTGTGCAGTGCCCTTGGATGAAAATTGCCATGACCCAAGTGACACCTGGTGGCAAAACCAGTGTCATCCCATCACTTGAGCCTTGGCTCAGCTGTGGCAGCAGAGCTCTGTCACATCCCACTCCTGCATCAGTGACTGAGGGATGCTGAGAAGGTGTCTTGCCTTGCAGGACACCAGTGCAAATCCCAGCCTTGGTAAATCAACTGATGTTGCTGATGAAAACTGGTTCATTCTCCTGCCAGGGCATGTGTGTTGGTGTTGACAGCAGCATTTTCCATTACAACAACAGGAGTTATTATATTGGTGTCTGAACCCCTTTGATTTCATGCTCTAAAACAGAAGCCCATTAGGACAGTATTTTTCTCCTGTTTAAATTTACCAAATAAACAAATAGAACTCCCTAAATTCATACAATCACATCTGTAACCTATGGGTAGATTTTACTACCTGAAGTTAGGTGACATCACATTGATAGATATTTTAGTAATCAAACATTAATCCATCACTTTTCTGTACTTTTACACTAATCCTTCAAAGATTACATTTGATTTTAGTTGCACAACTACACATCCACATGTTCCTGCATAACTGGACCTTCAGTAGTGGCACACATTTTTGAGGCTGCTGGTAATTCAGATTTTTTTTATTTTAAAGACAGAGGTAGAGAGGTTCTTGAGTGACTGAGCAGGGAAGATGTAGAGGTGTGCCTGGGGAGCCAGCACAACTTACCTTGGAGGTGCTGGTGTTCCCAAAGTGACCCATTTACCCCACTGCACAGATTGGGATTGTTGCTCAATCAGCTCTCAAACTCCTGCAGTTTGCACAGTCCTCTAAAGCAAGTCTAACTCTTTGCAAAGAGGTACAGACTACCACAGGCAATAGAATGGATCTTTGCTATGGCAGAGAACAGAACTTTCAAATCGTGGCCATTCTGTTCTTCATTTGCATTATCTGTTTCTCTTGCAGCTATACTGAAGGTCGTGTCAGCTGTCCTGCAACTGGGTAATATTGTCTTCAAGAAGGAGAGAAACACTGATCAAGCTTCTATGCCAGATGATACTGGTATGATTTGACACTTTAAACTGTAGTTAACATTAAGAAATTAATAAAATAGCAGCTGAATAGGCACTCTTCATCAGTGGTTTTTATTTAATTGCTATTACCTAGATAGCTCTTTGGCTTTAAAATATATACCATACTTAAAATTGGCTCAATTATCATTACCTTTCCTGGAAATCTTGAATCTATAAATTGAAGAACAGTGAATTTGTTGCTTGGATCACAAATGATGCTTTCATGGCAAGTGTCATCTCTTCTATGTACAACAGAGCAGCTTTTAAGGAAGATAAATAACTTCACTTACTTGCTGAGCTACTCATATTCATAGTTAATGACCTGCTAAGAGGAAATTCAATCTGAAATAAAATCTCACTCTTTTATTCTAGCTGCACAAAAAGTGTGTCACCTGATGGGGATTAATGTGACAGATTTCACAAGATCTATTCTGACCCCAAGGATCAAAGTAGGACGAGATGTTGTCCAGAAAGCTCAGACCAAAGAGCAGGTATTTATCACACTCTGCTCAGCTCTCCTGAAACTATTTTCTTTTTTTTCTCCTTACATCTTGTCTGAAGGGAAATGTCCGTTTTCTGTCTCAATACCTCTGCAGAAATGAGCAGCTCAGTGGGTTTCCTCCTTCACTTACAATTTTCTCTTCTGTTTTCCAGGCCGACTTTGCCATAGAGGCTTTGGCCAAGGCAAAATTCGAACGCCTTTTCCGCTGGATCTTAGCTCGTGTAAACAAAGCTCTGGATAAAACCAAAAGACAAGGCGCTTCCTTCTTGGGCATCCTTGATATTGCTGGGTTTGAGATTTTTGAGGTATGTCCTGTGGGACACAAGCTGACTAAACTCCCTACTCTCACACAGTGGTTTGGATATAAGATGACATGAATTGGTTATTCCAAGCTGCCTAGCAGCTCATGGCCCACACAACCCACAGATCTGCCACCCCAGGCTGCTTGCCTTTCCCTTGGGCAGGAAGGGCTGGGGCTGGCAGCATGCTCCTGCAGAGCTCTGGATTTAGAGCCAGAAACTGCTTTTTATGGTTTATTGAACAGGTCCCAGTACAAAGATTTACCATGTGAGAACTTACTGTAAATTCCCAAAACCTTATATTGGAAAAATATGCATCCTTATATTTGAATTACTGCAGTATGTAAAAAGAAATAGAAGATAACAAATATCTTGTCATTTAAGTTCTCTCGTGAAGGTCTCTAACATTACAAAATCATTTTTTTCCTCTTCACAGAACAATTCCTTTGAGCAGCTATGCATCAACTACACCAATGAGAAACTTCAGCAGCTTTTCAACCACACAATGTTTATTTTGGAGCAAGAGGAATACCAGAGAGAGGGCATTGAATGGAATTTCATTGACTTTGGCCTTGACCTGCAGCCTTGCATTGAGCTGATTGAAAGACCAGTAAGATTATAACTCTATAGGTGGGATACTTCATAGGTTGCATCAGGATCAGTTAAGTCCCAGTACGATAAGAGAGCCCTTTAAGGCATTTCAGATCCTTTATTGCCTGGAAGGATTTGTAACCTAAGGGGTGAAGAAGGTGGTGCTTTGTCTTTATCTCAGCCTGCAATGATACTGAGCTGTTATGTCTTCCATTACAGACCAACCCCCCAGGTGTCCTGGCTCTGCTGGATGAAGAGTGTTGGTTCCCTAAAGCTACTGACACATCCTTTGTGGAGAAACTAATGCAAGAACAAGGCAACCATCCCAAATTCCAGAAGCCCAAGCAACTCAAGGATAAAACCGAGTTCTGTATAATGCACTATGCAGGAAAGGTACTGGACAGATTGAGCTATTTTGACTTAGGGAACTTTGATTCTTTGATACCCAAATGGTCCAGTACTTGCACTGATAAGATGTGGCTTTAATGATGTAATGTGTATATTAAGTGCTTTACTTACATAACATATGAAATAAAATTCACAAAAAGTTCATGGTTGTGCTAAGTTCACAAGAAAACAAAAATAACCAGCACTGAGGTTATTGAAAATCCAAGTAATGTGGATTCTTTTCTAGCAAGCAGACCTTTTGCAGAAGATGCTAATACATGTGAGAATAAATACTCAACTCGGCTCTCAAGCCTAGAAAGCTTTTCACATTGTTATTGTTTGTGTGATTTTGTGTTAATACAGTGCCCTGTGTTCTTGGACACTCCAGATTTCTTTATCAAGAATGGAACTCTGACATAGCTCTCTTTCCTGCAGGTCACCTACAATGCAACTGCCTGGCTAACAAAGAACATGGATCCACTGAATGACAATGTGACTTCTTTGCTGAACCAGTCTTCAGACAAATTCGTAGCAGACCTTTGGAAAGATGGTATGATTTGTAACTCTGAATCAGTGGTGTCATTTAGAGGGAGAAACTCCTGCCAGAACCTTTTGACAGCCATCCCTTGCTCGCAGGACACAAGTGTAACCATGACAAGCATAGAAGAGACTAAACTAAGAAAGAAGAATAATGTGTTCTAAGACATATTTATGGAAATCTTCACTAGATACTGTTTAGCACTATAAAAAAATTCCTTAGTTAATATTATTCAGCAGCAGAATAAAAATTATTCATTACACTGTTTTAACGTTGCTGAATATGTGACATTTTAGACTTCATTTAATACAGGTTATTATTGGGTGTTAGGAGTGAATGACTTTACACACTCCTCTCACACAAGTCCTGCACAGTTCAGTTCTCTCCAGTGATGTGTAATCTGCTCAAGTGTAATTGACAAAGCCTGAATGCTTATAAAACACAGTTGGTTTTTTAAACATTTATATGGATCTGTAACACATACACTACAGTATAAGTATTTAATTTATTAAGAGAAATGTGCATTCAAATACCAGCAAGGTGGCTCTGAATTATCAGATAACCGAGGGAGATGATTAGCTAGACTTTGAGAATCACTGGGTAACAGATGGGAGTCAAGAGATGATGTTCCTGGTTCTGACACCAGCATACCAATTTGAGCTTGCAGAAGGACTGTCCTTTGTAGAACAAACAAGGTAAAAACATATCCTGGGTATTCAGTTGCTCCATTCTGTCACCAGTTAACAAAGGTCCATGTTGTCATGTTTGACAGTAGACTATTTACCCAGAACATCTTCTAGTACTTTTGTGGGTATGTTTCTACTGCATCATACTGGTCCCTTTGGCCAGTTGCAGCTTAACAGTGCCAGTGACAGGTGTAATGTGAGGTGAGGACAGTTTTTATAAGCAGTTTCATTCATACTTTCTTTTACATTTCAGTGGACCGCATTGTTGGGCTGGACCAAATGGCCAAGATGAGTGAAAGCTCACTCCCTAGTGCTTCCAAAACCAAGAAAGGCATGTTCCGTACTGTTGGACAACTCTACAAGGAGCAGCTGACCAAACTGATGACCACCTTAAGGAATACCAATCCCAACTTTGTCCGCTGTATCATTCCAAATCATGAAAAGAGGGTAAATTTCCAATACTCAGTTTTCAGACTCCTGGCACATTCTTCCCGTCGAGCTGCTCACTGCACATGGCAGAGCTGAATGATGTGTTCAAACATAGATATGTGGATGGTAACACTTTTGTAAATTGCTGTGCTAAAAATACCTTCTGTTCCCTTTTCAGTCTGGCAAACTTGATGCCCATTTAGTGCTGGAGCAGTTGCGCTGCAATGGTGTCTTGGAAGGCATTCGGATCTGCCGACAGGGATTCCCCAACAGGATTGTCTTCCAGGAGTTCCGTCAGAGGTAGGAATCCCTCAGATTCTAGGCCTAACTCTGGGTTTAACAGTGCTGTAATGCATGTTTGTCTGTACAAAACAATCTGATGTGTTTCAACCTCCCTAACATAAATGTCTTTTGGCAGATATGAAATTCTTGCTGCGAGTGCTATTCCTAAAGGATTCATGGATGGGAAGCAGGCTTGCATATTGATGGTGAGGAAAGCATTTTTGATCCTATTGATAATCAGGTCTACACTTGTTATATAAATGTGTTGAGACTGAAGAGAAATGATAAGTGATTTTTAATACCCTAAACCTCAGCACTGGAGTTAACAAATATCCCTGTTTTCCTCCAGATCAAAGCATTAGAACTTGATCCCAACTTGTACAGAATTGGACAGAGTAAAATCTTCTTCAGAACTGGCGTTCTGGCTCACCTGGAAGAAGAGAGAGACCTGAAGATCACAGATGTTATTATCACCTTCCAAGCTATGTCCCGAGGCTACCTAGCAAGAAAGTAAGGATATGTACTAATAAAAAGAATGTCTTCTGCAGCAGAGTATCTACAGGGACTTCTAGTTCTCCATTTAAGAAACTGATAATATTAAGGCATCTTACTATTATTTATTATTTGTATTTCATTAGAACTCAACTTGTGTCCAATGCAAGATTCACTTCCTGCTCAGAAGAGGCTAATTTGTATAATTACAGGGAAGCAGTTACACTGTGAGGCTACTTACATCCCTCTGTACAGTTCTTTCTCTGATGCAATGACCCATCATTAAAATGTGTTTATACAAGCAGGAAGAGCTTCCTAGTCTGTGACTGGAGTCTTAGGCACTACAAGTAGCAGCACCCCTGGCATTTGTAAAACATAAAATAATTTCTTATATAGCTTGGCCGTGGAGCACTTATCATCTAGCATGATCTCAATTGATGTACATCACAAACTATGAACAATAATGCCTTATTTTCTGCATACTGTCAAGGCTTTCAAACTGATGAACAAAGAAATTTAAATATAATATGCTTTAAGAACGTTATCAATGCAAGAACTGAGTGCCTGTGTACTCTGGGAAGATGTTCACACTCAGAACTAGATGTATACTTTGTCATCTCTGCATATCTATGCAGTGCAAACAGCCAAAAACCAGTAGACTAAATAAGAGACCAGAAAGTTAAACAGCATTATCACCTTTCCTCAAGAAAGCACAGGCACTGCTTAAGCAACAAAAGAATTTGTGCCAAGTTTCTCAAGCCGTGTAGCTGATCAGCAGAATCTCATGGCAGAGTTTCTTTGCTCAATGTGTGTATCCTGCAGACACCTTGTATTCTCAGACTGAACCAATTTGCTTTACACTTTTAATTGCAGAGCCTTTGCCAAGAGACAGCAACAGCTGACTGCAATGAAGGTTATCCAAAGAAATTGTGCTGCTTACCTGAAGCTGAGGAACTGGCAATGGTGGAGGCTGTTCACCAAAGTGAGTGACTGCTATCAGTGAATCTCTCCTCAGTTTTCCAAAAGAAATGAAATGCATATGATAATGAGGTGCATCTTGTCAGGCACATTCCTTGTTCCAAAGTCCATTTCAGCTGATGGCAAGAGCTTCATTAGCTTCACAAAATTTGGGGTTAGAGTTATTCTGGATAGTTATATAATGCCATTAACACTACAGTTAGTTCTAGCCTGAGAAGAAAACAAACTAGTTAAGCAAAGATTCATAAAAGATTTTGCATGTTTGGGGACTTGTTTAATTACCAAAAAATGAAATAATTTCACAGAGGTGGATAATGAGAATACAGAGGAAAACTGAGCTTTCTGAACATGCAGAGTGGTATATCTATGGGGAATCCAGTAGCTCAGGAATTGCCTAACTGGGGCACTAAGCATCTTTCTGCTAGGCACTGGAGCAAATTAAGGGTTTTTTCCTATTGAAGAGGTCTGAGGTTTTCAACAATAGCCTTCAGTTTGAATTCAAAAAACTGTTCTTACTTGCACTGATAGCAACCTCCTCTGCAACCAGAAACAGGCAGTAAAACACATCTGCATGTGCACATTGCCCTTCTGTGCAGACTGAAATAAAGCTATATAGCTTTTGTTCATTATTAATGGATGCAAACAGGCCTGGAGCCATTCCAAAAGTGAGGCAGAGGTGCTCACAAGGCTCCAAGAATTAACACAGAGATGGCCAAGACCAACACTGCTAAGGCTTGCTCCTTTAAAGCTGCTTACTTTGAGCTTGGCTGGAGAGTACCTGTCCAGCCTTGAGCAATGGCAGAGTTGCCATTTAGTGCCAGTCAGCCCAGCTCCTTTCCATGCTCAGTAACAGAAATGCTGACAGCAACATTCTTACAAAACCTTCCTATTTTCAGGTGAAACCACTGCTGCAAGTCACCCGCCAAGAGGAAGAAATGCAGGCCAAGGATGAAGAACTACAAAAAACTAAGGAAAGACAACAAAAAGCAGAGAATGAATTGAAGGAGCTGGAACAGAAACACTCACAGGTGATTTACAGCTCTGGGCCTCTGGGAAACACTAGCTGTTCTTTTACCATTTCTAAGAGCTCTTGCAATAATGGTCTCTCTTTCTTTTGTACTCATGACTGCTTTCACTGCAATGGTCCAGAACAACAGTTCAGTGCAGACAAACTCCCAGTTGCTTCAGTAGAGGCCCAACATCCACACAAGAACACATGTTAGAGCTGCTGCCTGTACACCAGGACTATCCAGTAGAGTAACACAACTCACAGTCCAAGCCTTAACTTCCTATCTATTTTATTTGCATAGCTTTGTGAAGAGAAGAACCTCCTTCAGGAACAGCTTCAGGCAGAAACTGAACTGTATGCTGAAGCTGAAGAGATGAGAGTCCGTTTAGCTGCTAAGAAACAAGAGCTGGAAGAGATTCTGCATGAGATGGAAGCCAGAATTGAGGAAGAGGAGGAACGCAGCCAGCAGCTGCAAGGAGAGAAGAAAAAGATGCAACAACAAATGCTGGTAAGGAGCCATAAATGACAAATATGGACAAAAATCCGTATCTCACTCAGGAAAAATGGAGATTGGCAAACTTCAGATCCTATGACAGTGCTTGCTACACAACTTTCTGTGGAACATATGTCTGTGCCACTGAAGTAAGGAAAATCAATTGATGCTCTTTCCTCCAGAGTTCTCCTCTTCCCCACCTGAACTTTAAATAATCTTTCCTCTAAAACATTATTTTAATAAATCTTTTCTGTCACTAATTACTACAGATTGTCTAGTTCTTAGTAAAAACAAAGCTTACAACTTACTCCACATACAGTAATCAACATTCAACATTTCTTAATATCTAAGTGGTGGTTTATTTCCAGATTTCATGTTTTGTGGGTTTCTTTTTCTCCATCAAAGGACCTTGAGGAACAGCTGGAAGAAGAAGAAGCTGCAAGGCAGAAACTGCAACTTGAAAAAGTAGCAGCAGATAGCAAGATAAAGAAAATGGAAGATGATATTCTGATAATGGAAGATCAGAATAACAAGCTAAGCAAGGTAAGAGTTCTGGGTCCAGTTTGTTACTCTGAAAATAGTGAAAGATGAGACAAAACCTTCTCTTCCACTGGAACCACAGGAATACTCATGACTATGTAGTCTCATGTGTGTACAGTTTCAGCAGGCCATAAGTCCAGCCTCTAGCAAATGTATTTATGCTAATTTTTCAATGCTCATTTAAACAATTCAAAATTGTATAAAATTACTGGGCTTGAGATCTGCTGTAGTAACAACATCTTCAAGGAAAGTACCCACAGCAGTCAAGCACAATCAGTCTAAGATGTCTTCTCAGCCATGAGCAGACTAAATCTCTTGGTTTTCAAATCATTTCAACCAAACTTCACAATTAAAACTGGAAGTAACTGTGTATTCCAGGACTTTTTGAAAGGGAATGCTCCTCTGAACTGGGCCCTGTATTTACCTTACCAGCCATTAGAGTGAGCACAAGATTCTACTAGCAGCAGATCAGAGAACATGAAAGTGGTAGACACCACCTCTGTAACAGACAAACTGAAATGTATCACTGCAATCTCAAGAAACAGCATAAAAAGATAGTCTCTTGCACATTTTTAGTTGTTGAAGACTTGCTTCATGATCACCAATGACAGACACTTTAAAGATAGTCTCTTGCACATTTTTAGTTCTTGAAGAGTTGCTTCATGATCACCAATGACAGACATTTCTGCTAACAGAAGTATTTTATGTTTCTTAAGGAAAGAAAACTCCTTGAGGAAAGAATAAGTGATCTAACAACAAATCTTGCAGAAGAAGAAGAAAAAGCCAAAAATCTTACAAAGCTTAAGAACAAACATGAATCTATGATTTCGGAACTTGAAGGTAACACAAGCAATAGTTTGTTGGAGGTTTTGTTGATTTATTATTTTGCCTTGGCACAGAACCAACCAACCAACCAAACAAACAAACAAAAAAAACCCCAAACCCCAGAATTTGGAAAGAACTTCTAAAAAATCTGTGGGATGTTTTTCAAATTTCTTATGCTGAAACTACTTGGTACATGAGAGTCATCAAAACCTCAGGGTGCATGAACCACAGATATCTTTTATTTTTTACATACAAAAGAGTAGAGAGAAAACTGAGAGAAAAAAATTAATGTTCTTCTGGAAAAAGAGAAATAAATTATTCCTTGGGATGGCTAGAAATAAGCAGTGGCAGTACAGTATTGCATCTTGCCTCAAAAACACAGTGACTATAGTTAAATGTATGGCCACAGTGGAGGCCAGAACAATTCTTTGCCTAAGTTCAAGATGAAATTAAGGACTCTTTGCACTAGTGCACTCTGATGACTAAAATCCTCACTTTTTCAGTGCGGCTGAAGAAGGAAGAGAAGAGCAGACAAGAACTGGATAAAGTTAAGAGGAAGTTGGAAGGGGAGGCAAATGATCTACATGAGCAAATTGCAGAGCTCCAGGCACAAATTGCTGAGCTGAAGGCACAGCTAGCTAAGAAGGAGGAAGAACTGCAGGCTGCTCTAGCCAGGTATTCACTCCTGAGTCTGCACACAGTTAAAAACCCAGTCTGGAACATATGTCTTGCCCTTCCTCAGACACTGAGAAGCTGCAGCTATGAATCTCACATCAGTTCATCCTCCCATTTTTCAAACTTCCTTTTGTGAAGAATAATCACACTATTGTTTGTCCACAGACAAATAATCTTACCTTCAGGTATCAATAAATATCCCTCTTCCCACAGGCAACAGCAGTGCTGTCAAGTAAACAATGAAATTTAACACCATAATTCACAGGCAAAAGGCAGAAATGAATTAAGAGTCTGACCTTGATTCACTCTGGAATGTCAGTGGATTTTCTGTGTAAAATTAAGAGTGACAACACTCAGCCAAAACTTTTGCTGAATCAACTGATCAGCATCTCCAGGCAAAGTACAGCTGCCAGATTTTTATTGAGTCAGTCCCTGCTCTTTCTTTGGTATTTTCTTGTACAGAAACTATAAACCTTTAATGTCTGTATATTGATTTCCTCAAAGTGAAATTATCAGGGGGAGTTTAATTTATAAAATGAAATCATCTCTTTTCAAAAAGGCTTGAAGATGAAACTAGCCAGAAGAACAATGCCCTCAAGAAGATCCGTGAATTGGAATCTCACATCTCTGATCTCCAGGAAGACTTGGAGTCTGAAAGAGCTGCAAGAAACAAAGCAGAAAAACAGAAGAGAGACCTAGGTGAAGAACTGGAGGCTCTTAAGACAGAGCTTGAGGATACTTTGGATACCACAGCCACCCAGCAAGAGCTCAGGTATGGAGATATAACACATGGGTCAAAAAGAAGTGTCATCAAGCTCAGTACAACACTGTACTAACTGTGCAGTAGTGTTACTTTCCCAGTGGCTGGAATGTTCTTTGTTGCTGCTGCTCCATTTATGTATGTTACCTTCCAGAGCAAAGCGTGAGCAGGAGGTCACGGTGCTGAAGAAAGCTCTGGAGGAGGAGACTCGAACTCACGAAGCCCAAGTCCAGGAGATGAGGCAAAAGCACACTCAAGCTGTGGAAGAGCTAACGGAGCAGCTGGAACAATTTAAAAGGGTAAACAGAAACTCATCTTATTGATCACTATCCACTAGATAACGTGACTTCCTTTCATAATTCATCTTTCTTCATTTCATGTTTGTAGGCTAAAGCAAACTTGGATAAGACCAAACAGTCATTGGAGAAAGACAACGCTGACCTGGCTAATGAAGTCAGGAGCTTGAATCAGGCCAAACAAGATGTAGAGCACAAAAAGAAGAAGCTGGAAGTACAGCTGCAAGACTTACAGTCCAAATACACTGAGGGAGAGCGTGTTCGGACAGAACTCAATGAAAAAGTTCACAAATTACAGGTAGGAAGGAATCTAATGTTTTGTTGTGACACCCTGGGATTGAGAAGACTAGTTTATACTGTTGTGTGAGGGTATACCTGGAGAAATCCTGACCCTGCAGCTAAGAAAGCTCTGGTTTTTGTCATCTGTAGGGTTCCTACCTTAAACTGCTACCTCAATTACCACACAATTGATCAACTACAGCCTCTGATGAAACTGAGAGGATACACTGCCACTGAGACAGTGACTATGCATGTCCAGCAATACTAATCAAGCTTATTGTTACATCTTGTTCTCAGCAGCAGTAACCATTTCTTTATTAATCAAGCTTATTGTTACATCTTGTTCCCAGCAGCAGTAACCATTGCTTTAATAAGTTGGTAGATAAATAAGAAAATATAATTAAATGCATTAACTTCAATCAAACTTGGGAAGAGAAAGGAAAATCCACCAAAAATCTCCATTCTCCTTTGCAACTCATTGCTTGGAACATACTGTATTACTTCCTGAATATGCCTAAGGTTTGATATAGAGTAATAAAATAAGCTAAACTAGACCAAAATGGCATTAGACCTTGTGGGTCTTAATACACAGGTCACAAAGATGACACATGTAGTCACCGCAGAGTGTGTGTAGAATTTAGTTCCACGGGAATTAAATCCCACATATTGTCCAGAAATGTGGTAAAACTGTGAATTCCAGCTAAGCTAGAAACTCTGTTGGTGCTTGAGGTGACCCAGAGGCATACAAGGAGATTCAGATCATGTTCAAAGTTAGGATTTCAAACAAAAACAAGCCAACTAAAGTTTGGAGGAAGATTTCAACATTGTGCAAAATAACTGAATTTTTTCACTGTGGTGTCTCACAGGTGGAGGTTGAAAATGTTACTGGTTTGCTCAATGAAGCAGAAAGCAAGACAATCAAATTGACCAAAGATGTTGCAGCCTTAGGATCTCAGCTACAAGATACACAGGTAAACTTGCATCCAAGAACAGCTCACTGACAATATTCATAAAATGCACTATAAAAAGCCCTAAACTAATGACTGTACTGCTGATTGATGTGGTGACTGCAGGAGCTGCTTCAGGAAGAAACGCGGCAGAAGCTAAATGTCACTACCAAACTTCGTCAGTTGGAGGATGACAAGAACAGCTTGCAGGAGCAGTTGGATGAAGAAGTAGAAGCAAAACAAAATCTGGAGAGACATATTTCAACACTGACAATACAGGTATCAGTGCCATAGCTAACCCATTAGCTCCACCACTGAGAGCTTTGTCAGCAATTCCAGAGGATCTGTAGAATTACCCTGGCACAGCACATAGACCTCCAGGGAACTAGTGCTGTTAGCCCAGATGGCATTAGTGAAGTTCCACAGTGGAGGCAGCAGTCTCCCTTTCCTTTGAAGTATGATCTCTAGGACAGGTACAAATGCAAAGTAGCTCCAAAGATAATCTTGCCACAAGGCCTGTATGTGCATACTAGGTCTGTGCTCTGCCTCATTTTATGAGGGCTGAGTGATGGGGAACTGGTCACTAGTTTCACTTGGGTCAAAAATAGGTAAGATCTCCAAGTCTTAGTTGTCTCCTGGCCAAGTGATGTCTCTCTGCCATGTTTTGTTGTCACTGCTACAAAGGTTTGTCCTCTGAATTCAAATTTCAGCTCTCTGACTCTAAGAAGAAGATACAGGAATATACCAGCACAATAGAAATCATGGAAGAAGGCAAAAAGAAATTTCAGAAGGAAATTGAAAGTCTCACACAACAGTTTGAGGAAAAGGCTGCTTCTTATGACAAACTGGAAAAAACCAAGAACAGACTCCAGCAGGAGCTGGATGACCTGGTGGTGGACTTAGACAACCAGCGTCAGCTGGTCTCCAATCTGGAGAAGAAACAGAAGAAGTTTGATCAGGTATGGACTTGCTGTGTTATCCCCTGTCTTCTCTGGAACTCACAGAGTCCACTGGTTTAGTGAAAAAGGACAAAAAATAAACTAAAATTTAATTCCACGTAGACTGGCGAATTTTGTATTTATATACCTTTATCAACAGCAGAGATTTTTCTCTGCTGCAATAGAAAAACGCTATTAATAATGACTTCCTGTATTAACACTACTTTTTACAGATGCTAGCTGAAGAGAAAAACATCTCTTCAAAATATGCAGATGAAAGGGACAGAGCAGAAGCTGAAGCTAGAGAAAAGGAAACAAAGGCTTTGTCATTGGCCCGAGCACTTGAAGAGGCTTTGGAAGCCAAAGAAGAACTGGAGAGAACGAACAAAATGTTGAAAGCTGAAATGGAAGATCTTGTTAGCTCCAAAGATGATGTTGGCAAGAATGTAAGTTTTGGTCTTAGAACAATTTCCACAACAATAACTTAAAATAGCAGCTAAAAAAAGAGATCATTGTTTTCAGTGTGGGAAATTCTCTGTGGCACACAAATCCATCCAGCAAGATCAGATATGTCAGACATAATTCAAAGGCTATTCCATTTGTGTCAAAACTTCCAAGGGACTTGGCAAAGTAACTGTAAACTATCTTTATTTTTAACATAACTTCAAGCATGAAGAAGATTCTTATTGATTACTAAGACTGAAAAAAAGTTAGAGAGATTCTAAATCATTTACTAGTTTATTACACAGCTTTGAAATTGTAAACTCCACAATTCGGATTTTATTAGTTAGATTTGACTTTGCCACCTGCCTAATGTTTACTTATACAGCTGCAGCAAATTTCCACTGATGCACTGCCAATCACTTCTTTTATAACAGGGATATAATTATATTACTTGTAATATTAAATAAATTATGATATTTGACTAGATTAAAAATGAAAGTTTGAGATAAGGAGAATCTCAGGTTCTTTTAACACAGATTTGCAAGAGTACCAAAAAAAAGCTTATTTACCATTTTCAGTGTAAATTAGGTCTTTCATTGTCCACAGCTAATAATTTCAAATGTGGCCTATACTGCAGGTAGACTGTGTTTAACCACAATTGGGTTTGTTTCTCAAATCTATTAAATTCCCATTGCTTGAAAGGTCCATGAATTGGAGAAATCTAAACGGACCCTTGAGCAGCAAGTGGAAGAGATGAAGACACAACTAGAAGAGCTGGAGGATGAGTTACAGGCTGCTGAAGATGCCAAACTCAGGTTGGAGGTTAATATGCAGGCCCTGAAAGGCCAGTTTGAAAGAGATTTACAAGCCAGAGATGAACAGAATGAGGAGAAGAAAAGACAACTCCTTAAACAGGTACCCTTCGTTTGACTCCTTTCAAAAATCTTTAATTTTGGGATAAATTGGAAGTCTATTTTAACTGCCAGGAAAATCATAGGTAAAAGATACAGAGGGCTGTACGTATTATTTAGACAAGCACAGAGTGCTTAAGAGTGTTCAAGGATTTTGCTAAACTGAATTTGTTTTCTTTAATGATCAGCTCCATGAATATGAAACGGAACTGGAAGATGAGCGGAAGCAACGTGCCCTGGCAGCTGCTGCCAAGAAGAAGCTGGAGATGGATGTTAAGGACCTAGAAGGCCAAGCTGATTCTGCTAATAAGGGTCGGGAAGAAGCCATCAAACAGCTTCGCAAATTACAGGTATACAATCCTGCAAATACAGTTTGTCCCACTGCTGTTTTGCTCAGTCACAACACAAAAGTTAGGTGACATCTGTTAACTTGATGCCTGTTGCAGATTATTGGTCAGGGGGCAGTTTTAACTAGACCCCCATACCCAAATATCTGTATTGTAATGGTCAGTTTGAATGACAATGGAAAATTCCACAGGGCAAATGATTAAAATCTTACATTTCATCACTGCAGAGAGCTTCTAAAATTCTGCAGCCAACACTCACCTACTATCAATTTACCCATGAAGTAAAACAAAGCTTCCCATGTAGAGAAAGGGCTACAAGATAAAATCTATTACAGGGTTTCAACCCTGGGTCTAACAGCTGACTCAAGAGCATAAAAAAGTGTTCAGAAATCATGTTGTCTCTGAATTAGCATCTTCCTGTGTATACTCTGCCTCTCCATATCAACTCTTCTGTCACATGCTGACAGCTGAACAACAAATGATTAAGACTGCACATATATTCAAATATTCAGAGGAAATATGGGCAACAGGCACCACGAAAGCTGCAGTATGCAAGTGGAAGCATTGCCCTTCTTGGAATAGCATTTCAGACCTTTCCAACAGACCTCTCCAGAAAATATAATTTAAGCAGCATTATGACTATGTGTTCTGCAGTGTCTAAATTTCTTTCTACTGAAATGGTAATAAATTTGCTATTCTTTTCAACAAGGCTCAGATGAAGGACTACCAACGAGAGCTGGATGATGCACGGGCTGCCAGAGAAGAAATATTTGCTACAGCCAGAGAAAATGAGAAGAAAGCAAAGGGCCTGGAAGCAGACCTCATGCAGCTTCAGGAGGTAAAGTGGGAAACTTAAGAGCAGTATGAAGGAGGCTACACATGACCTTCATTAGCAAAACAGAACTGCAATAATATAACAACTATCATGGTTTGAAAGCTCTAAGCAACACTTGTGACAAGTTCCATGTGCTCCATGCACTTCACCAAAGTTGTTGGATCTACATCTGAGCAGAGCCACAGTTCACCATTGTTAAAGGGAAATGAACTGTATGATCCAACACAAATTGTTTTCAATTGCTATACATTCCTCAAGTCTTGTTACTGCCATTATTCCTCATGTATTAAATGGCAATTTTATGACTAAAACCAATAAAACACAAACCAGCTGACAGGCTGGATCAAGTGTATTGCATTGTACTTCCCTAGGGTTTATATGACACAAGTTTATTCCATTAGCAAGACAACCCATCTTATACATGTTTTAGAAAGCTTACAGTGGTTTCACCATGCTGTATCTATTTGTCTGAACATTTACTTGCTCTTTTCTTTACTATGGTGCCTTTTCCTTTCCTCCTAGGAACTGGCTGCTGCAGAGAGAGCTCGCAAACAAGCAGATCTGGAGAAAGAAGAGATGGCAGAGGAACTTGCAAGTGCTGCTTCTGGAAGGTAGGAATACATTGAATTAAGCACAAGCCTGAAACATGCTATGAATGTTGCATGGCTGCCAAGAGAAGTTATGTTCCTCTCCCAACAGCCGTCTGGTCTTGCCAACACAACATGCACACATATGACTAGTTTCTGTGAAATATCTAGTTCTCTTTATGAATTACTGGCAGTTCATAATAGTTTCAAACACATTCAACTGGTCAGAGCCATAACTACACTCTTAATAAATTTCAACTTACAGGAACAGCCTTCAGGATGAGAAACGGCGCCTGGAGGCAAGAATTGCTCAGCTGGAGGAAGAGTTGGAAGAGGAGCAGGGCAACATAGAGGCAATGGGTGATCGCATGAGGAAAGCAGTACAGCAGGTAAAGCTCATTTCAACACATGGCACTTTGAGTTTGTAGCCCAGCAAAAGCTATTTGTGGTCCCAAATATTTGGAGAACTGCCACCCCAAATGGTCACCTGTCATTTCTCTGAAAGCATGCAACACTTCTGACAGCATCCCTTCCCACCTTGCAGGCAGAGCAGCTGAACAATGAGCTGGCAACAGAGCGCTCAACCGCACAGAAGAATGAAAATGCTCGGCAGCAACTGGAGAGGCAGAACAAAGAGCTAAAGAGTAAGCTGCAAGAGATGGAGGGAGCTGTGAAGTCCAAATTCAAAACTACAATTGCTGCTCTGGAGGCCAAAATTGCTTCTCTCGAAGAGCAATTGGAACAGGAAGCCAGGTACTGGTCTCACAGAGGGCACAGCTGTCCATTTATTGTTCCAGTTAATGAGACAGAAAGTAAACAAAGGCAAACAGGATTTGTATCATCAGATTCTCAGTGCCATTAAGACTTGGTAAAGCCTCTTTCTCACTTAACATTTCTGAGGCATAAGGCGAGTAACTGGAGTTCTTAGTTTCTGATTAAGAACCATTTCATTACCAGAAAGTTCTACTACCAAAGGCAAAGATCTGCTCCCCCACAGTGTAGAGTAACTGCCCCATTAGGCTGAAAGGTTAATTGCCATAACACATTGTGCCACTTGCAGAATGATACCTTGAGGAAATCACTTCGTGCTTCAGAATAGACTTCCTGGAGCACCTCTAGCATACAGCAAAGACATATATTTGCTTTGGGAAGAAGAAAATGGCCTTTAAGTTTTCCTTAGAATTCACCTGTTGAATTCAGTAAGACCTTTAACACATGGATCCTTGGAGCCAGTTACATGAGAAACAAATCTGAGGCAAGTGAAGGCTACAGACCTCCCACATAACCAAGTGTTGTACTGTCCTTTGCAGAGAGAAGCAGGCTGCAGCCAAGACGTTGCGCCAGAAGGACAAGAAGCTGAAGGATGCACTGCTGCAGGTGGAAGACGAGAGAAAGCAAGCAGAGCAGTACAAAGATCAGGTATGACACTGTCACGAGGGCCTGAGTGTAGGGCTCAGGAATTTTCAGGCTTTAACCCTAAGAAAGGAAGATTACATGTTCTGTCTCAAACAAATGCCCTTCTGGAAAGCAGACTGTATGTTTGGATTCTATGCTGGGAGAGCTATAAAGCCCTTTGCTAAAAGATGGGACAATGTAATTCTACCACGCTACACCAAGTGCCAAAGCACTAGCCCATGCCAGCCAGCTGTAGTAGTCTGACAGCACAGGGAAAAGTAGGACTGTGCACAACATCCTTATCAGCATATGAATGGAGGTGCTGAACACATTTTATTTCAAAATTTTACCTTTACCTAATGTGCATCAACCTGCAAGCCAGAAAAGCAGAGGTAGGACTGTGCAGCAAAAGAAACAACAAGGTAGTGTCTGAATACAGTATCTATCAGCAAAATGAACTCCCACAAAGCAAAGTTCTTTTTAGATTTTCAGCTTCCACCTTTGATTTGGGTCATGTTTCAATAAAACTCTCAGTAGAAGTATACAATTAAATGAGGAACGTAAAGTTACTAGATCTGTTTTAAATGAAAGCATTACTCTAAAATTTCCCTGTAGGCTGAGAAGGGCAACACACGACTCAAGCAATTGAAAAGGCAGCTGGAGGAGGCTGAGGAAGAGTCTCAGCGTATCAACGCCAACCGCAGGAAGCTGCAGAGAGAGCTGGATGAAGCTACTGAGAGTAACGAAGCCCTGGGCCGTGAGGTTGCAGCACTGAAGAGCAAGCTCAGGTAGAGTGCCCTTGTTTGGGATAGCCCTTCCCACTCATTGACAGCCTTGAAGTATAGAACTAAACTACAGAGGTGAAAAAAAGTCTGTCAGGTAAAGAATAGGCACTGATAATGCTGCTAAGTTATTCACTCCTTGTATAAGTTTGGCAGACAGAACAAAAGGGTGAAGTCAGAAGTGAAGTGCATTTCATAGACTGCAGCAGGCTGAGGATTTCAGCTGTGAGGTGAACAACTCTGATAACATGGCACCGGCCTTACTCTTCTCTAATCAAACTCCTGTTGGCTTAAATGGGAACAGAATTAGGCTTGGTTGCTTTTGGAAACACCCCTATACAATGGCTGTATCTATTTGTACAGAAGCAGTCACAAAAGGGTAGAAATGCTTGTGCTTTTCACACTTTCACACATGCATAACTCATACACAACAATCATAAACAGTCTTGGATAACATCACAGGTGGCAAAAGGCAAAGCACGTTAAATGACTCTTATTCAAAAGTCTCTTTGGACTTCACCACGAAGGGATAAAGTGTCTTCAGACTGAGGAAAAGATCCAAACATCCCTTTGCACTTCCTTGTTAAAACTTACTGGGAAAAAGACAAAGCTGTGATCAGTCAGTGACATCCCTGAGTTCTCCTGCACTCGCTGGGTTTGAAAACACCAGCTCACTGAAATAAAGAGGCTGACTTCAGTTAAAGGAAATTGCTCTATCTGCATCACCACAGCATAAAATTTCATTTTCTACCTAAACCCAACAGTATGTCAGATGAAAGAAAATCAACTGCCTGGTTGTGTTCTCAAAGTAGTTTGCCAGTGTGTCTACCAGAAACATGCATGAACCTTCAGATGTGGATTTCCTTCAAAGTGAAGAGTTAAGAAAGTGGAAGCCTTTTCCATTAGCACCATCTCAGGTGGTACATGTTCCTGGCTGCTTTACAAAGCAGTGGCTGTGCCCAGCCTTTTTTATATAGAACAACATAAGGCTCATTTTTGTTTTATCTATATGTAATGTAATTGGCTGTCATGTACTTTGTTTAATTATTTAAAAGTAATTACATACCTCTGATCATGACCATGTGCGTAGTATAACTGCCCAGGACTCTTTATCTCTGTTTCAGAGGGACACAGGAACCTTCGCATGACTAAGCAGGTACCATGCCTTCAACTTTGCAGCTAGCTTGTATTGCACAAATTTCCATTTTCTTTGGCCCTGGTTAAAATTATCTGAGGTTTCTGCAAACTGTGAAGGCTTGGATATCTTGGCATTAATTTGTTTTACCAAAAGAGACAAATATTACAATAATCTAGCTACCATCAGCTGTTCATCAGCAATACATCTTTCTTACAAGTAGGTTATGTACTGACATACCAACATTGCATTCTCACAAGCTCTACCAACAGAGTACCTAATGAAGTACTCTGACTTTTTCTGCATGACAATTTTTGTTTTTGCACATCATTTTTGTGCACAGCCACAAAGATTAAATTTTTTTCAAATCCAATTCACCATTGATTAGTACAATTGATTAAAAGGACTAATGAATACGAAGTGTCACAGCATGTCACTAGAATCTCACAGTATTTATTATGCCTACTGTAATGCTGACTCTAAGGTAAGATTCCATCTTATTCACCTGCTATTTGGGAAGACCTTCCATGCATGTGATTTATCACACCACAGAATCACAGACAAAAGAGAAAGCCTTGCCTTTCATTATGTAGCACTGTGCCTGTAATGCTTACAAAGAGTTGTTACTCAGGCTTTTAGAGCTATTTTGCAGTGTTACATTGCTTGTCCACTGTTATTAAAAGATCGAGCACAGACACAGAACTGAAAGCTGACACTGTAACCTAGCACAGCATTATATTATACTTGATCACGTTCTCTGGAGATGGCAATAATACCTGCTGTTGCAAAAATTAGAGAGCTATTGCCTTGTAATATTTGTATATTTTCCATTTTCCATATGCTGGATTTTGCTGTGAATACACAAATATTTAAAGATGATGTCTTGTCCTTGCATGTGCCTTTCAGTCAGCCTGATATTTCCAGTCATACTGTTATTCAAGCAGTACTCCAGTAGCACTTGTTCAAAGGCAGATTAAATAAAGATGCTAAGCAAAACCTCTAAAGGTGCTACTGCCAACATGAATATTACAGAGCCCATAAACCTGTTTAAGAGGAACAGATGCGAACAGAAAGTGTTTACCCACAGGGCCAATAGCAGTTTAAAGAACTGTTAGGTTTATGCATACTGTACCAGTTTATGTTACTAAGTGGTTAGTATGTGATAAGGAGTTCAGTTCGTAGCCAAAACTGCAGTACACAATTTGGTTAGACTCTTGCTATTGCTCCCCCAGTCCCATGTTCTCTTACAGGACTGAATTACTGCAGCACAAAGAGAGTTATCCTACAAATGACTCATGAGTAACTGAGTCCAGATAGCACAAGTCCAAGGGGATAAAGAGCTCCTCCTTTATCAACAAGAATGAATTTACTGACCTAATCAGAACTTTCTTATTAAACAATAATAACAAATATCTGCTATCATAAAATAGCAGACACTGCTGTTAGCCTCTGCCAAGCACACACCAGGGTAGAGATGACATAGTCTTGTATTCAATATGTACCATCAGCACCAGAACAGCTATGGTTAACAGCAGAACTTCAATGAAGCTTTATTATCCAGCTAACTGCTTGCTCACACTGAAGCTTAAGGGCAGAACTGTGGAAAACAGACTACAAGTCACATTTCCACCTTGAAAACACAGATCCCATCATATGGAAGACTGAACTTTGGACTTCAATAGCTGCTTCAGAAAGGACACTGGCTTAGTCTCTTGCAAGGACAAGACAAGCCTTTAAATATTTATGCATGATTGCTGTACCCAAAAGTGCAGTCTCGAATATATTTAACACCAAATTAGTAATTTTGGCACAATATTCAGTGATCATGGATTTATTTTATTGCTTACGTCTGTGGTCTCAAGCCTTTACAAAGGTTTGCTTAATGAGGGGCAAGTGAGAGGCCATGTTACCAAACTGAAGCGCTTTGCAGCACAGTAGCCATGGAGGCCAAGAAGAGACAAACCCATCTTCTGTCTCACTTGCTCACACCTCTCCAAAAAATTAACCTTGAGGACCAAAGTGTCCCTGCCTTGGGACATGGCTATGAAATATATGGGGATGGGAGGGAGATGGGAGAGGAAAAGGGGGTAAAATGGGAAAAGCATTTTCTGTAAGACACTTGCACTGCTAAGCATTAGCACCTGGGTTATAGCACAGTTCCAAAGCAGTGATGGTTTCCTCTCTCCATTGGGAAAGAGATTGGAGTTAATCACAACCTAGGATGCCATACCTGCCAAAGCAACTGTAGTGCTTTGACCAGTGCAGCCTTTGCAGAGAGGAACTGTGGGCTCAAAAATGCCTGCTGACATCCACAGCACTCTGCAGTTCAAGGGCTCATGGACTCTAAGGAACTGGTGTACTTACTCAGACTGTAGGTCAGAAATTCAGCACAAGTTTGTTCTCCCTCCTTGCTCTTCTAAAGAGCCAGGATGGACATAACTCCCCTGCTGTTGTGGGCATGAGCAGCATCTTCTTCCATTCCTTCCAAGCACAACCAGTTGCAGTACACATAGGGAAAACAGTGCAATCAGGGGAAGTGTAGGTGTGATTTGGGGCAGATGAGATTCTGTGGAGAAGAACTTCAAGCACAAGAACAGGAATCTCACCACCGTTCCAGGCAATTGGGAGTCTCAACCTGTTCCCAAATTACTCTTACATCCTACACAACAGAAAGTTGTGTTAGAGGCCCACAGCTCTTGGCTTTTCTGCATTAAGAACCATCAGCCCCACATGTCCTGTTACAAAACTCTGTGTTTGTTTGTGAAGACTCCAAATAACCTAACACCTGATTTATTTTTTTTCTTTTTCCCCCCTCTCACTGCAGGAGGGGAAATGAGCCAGCATCTTTTGCCCCACCTCGTAGATCTGGAGGCAGAAGAGTCATTGAGAATGCAACAGATGGAGTTGATGATGAAATGGATGCAAGAGATGGAGATTACAATGGAACAAAAGCCAGTGAATAAACACGCTTAAAAAATTGCACTGCAGCAGAGGGAGGGAGGACGATATTTAGCACTGTATAAGTCTACTCTTAGTGTCAAGGTCACATACACCCACTCCTCTGACAATGATAAAAGCACAACTGCCTTGTCTCCAATGTAGAGATTGACGTTAAAAGTACTCCAAAACTTTTTACCATGGAGTGTATTTGAAAAGGTGGGGGGTTTATTAACAGAGCAACTCACTTTGAGAATCTTCCAGAAAAGTGAGTTTTAGTAGCTGAAACTATTTAAATCCCAATGAACTATAGTCTACAAAGGATTTGTGAGACTGTTGAAGGGGAAAAGACAAAAAAAGGCATTGGTCAGTTAATCTTTTCTTAAACTTTCATTTTGTTTTGAGTATTCAATTAATATAGGGTTTTCTCCTGGTTACTACACCCCTGATGCACAATTCACAAGGTGGAAGTGCCTTTTAATCACTTACTGAAAAATATCATTTGTTCAAATTAAGTCAACTGTTACAGTTTTATATGCACCATGGATGTGCTTACACACTAATAAAAGGCTACAAAAATTACTCCAGTATTCTTGTGTACAGGTGTCACTTGGATGCATTACAGCATGCTCAAAGGGAATGGGGGATGCAGCAAAGCTTCTCTAAAACTGAAATGCTTCTTAGAAAAAGTCATCTGTAATCATTAGAAAACACCCTGAATTTCTTCCAAGCAATTGCTTTTGAAGAAATAAAAACAAAACTATGTATACTGAGCTGAAAGTAAAATGACACAGTACTTGGGGCAGGTTTGATTACCTCATGGTCATGTGGTGCTAACTGAGGTGCCCCTGGATGTATCCAAGGTCTGACAGACATGACACAGGACCTACAGGAAATTTGCACCATTCTGGTACAGGAGCTGGAAACCAGGCAGGGCCCTAAATGTTTGTCTGTAGGCAACTGAACCCACCCTTGAAGTCTGTTATGTGTAGAAATATTTCCAATCAAAGCCTCGGAACAGGCTGAAAACAATTAGAACCAGCAGCCCACACTGACTGCAGGAGTCCAAGCCAAGCTATTCTGCATAAAGGGATCAGCACACAGTTACTTTTTATTTTTGGACCACTCCAACAAGACCACAGCCTACTCCTGGGAACTACCAGGACCTACCACAAACTCATGCAGCTCTAGTACTTCAGACAGCAGCAGCATTGTGGTCACACCAGGGCAGCAGTGAGCCATGCACAGCAAAGAGTGCAGAGAGCTCACTTGATGTCTTCGATTGTACAGCAAGTGAGCCGTAAGCAGTGTGACTACAGGGAGAGCAAATCATGCAAAAGCATTCACCTTGACCGCTAATGCAATCATTGTCTAAATAGAAGCATTGCTCCAGAAGGTACAGAGATCATGAACTGGAGATTCAGAGTAGGTAGGGTTTAGCCAGCACAATCAGAGCCCAGAGAATTCTCTCTGCTCATGAAAGAGTAAAGGAAAAATCCATTTGGAGCAATTAAGATGACAAGCTGCAGTGGAGGGGGGTTAGAAGCTATTGGATAAGACTTTTTCATTGCTTGATGAGCCACTCAAGCCCAGCTCTGTAAAGATGCTCAAGAGCTGGGTGTTAAATACAGTTTGTGAGTCTGCATGTGTGGGAACAAAGAGACCAAGAAAGTCAGACTTCATGTAAAATGGTGTTAAGTACCAATGCTTGGAGCAGAACCAGCAATCTTAATGTAGAACCCTTCCTTCTAAGAGGAATTTTTCTAGAAAATTCACATGCATAATGGTAGAAGTTGGTCTGATGGTCAAAGTGCTGCCCCATCACTTGAGAAACTCAGGTTCCAGTCCCTGCTCTGCAAAGCTGGTGACAAAATAGGGAGTCAGAGTTGCTTTAGTAACACCACAGAAAGCAAAGCATCCTTCTGCAACAGTGGCTGAACCAAAAGTTCTTCTCTGTACCACCACAAAGGCAACTGTTCCATACTAAATGATTCTGACAATTACCAATAGCATATCCACCCTCATCTCTCTAATTCCATCTGTACTCACATTAATAATATATCTGTAAAATATGCTATGCTAACACAGCCACAATTTTCCAACTTTCTACCTTATCTCAGGGCTGTACCTCAATCTGACTACAAGCCAACTTGCTCACCAAGCAGGCAAATTCTGGCAAGTTAAGGAAAATGCGACTTGTCTTCATAGAATCATAGAATGGTTTGGAAGTGACACTTAAAGGTCACCTAGTCTAAACCCCTGCAATGAAGAGTGTCACCTTCAACTCGATCAGGGTGCTCAGAGCCCTACCCAACCTGGCCTTGAATGTTTCCAGGGATGGGACATCCACCACTTCTCTAGGCAACCTGTTCCAGTGTTTCACCAACCTCACTGTAAAAATCTTCTTCCATAATCCAATCTAAAGCGACCCTTTTTTAGTTTAAAACCATTTCCCCTTGTCCGCCCACAACAGTGTGAGAGGACAAAAATCCTGAGTTCAAGACCTTAAGAGAGCAATGCCAATATCCCAAGCACTGTAAATTCCAGAGCATCTTTAGCTATGGCAATATTTACATTCCTTAGAGGAGGAAACCACGAGAAGAAAGAGATGCAGGAAAATCTTTGCAAATGATTTAGCAAAACAAACAATATCTCAACTTCATTGATCAGAAACAGGTAGTAAATATCTGTGCACATACCACAGTAACAACATGCAAGAAAAAAATAACTCAAATGCACTAACAAATAGCATTAAAAATAAGCTTTATTCTGCTCCCCAGTTAAACCAACTCTGTAGATGATTGGAAAATGGAAATAATCTGTGGTTATTTCATGTTCCACAGAAAGAGGTGTATCAGTGGCTGTTTTCACAGTTTTCTTGAAAACAAAACAAAAAACCCAAACACATTCATGTATTCTTTTTTCAAGTAAGTTCCTCCTATCCCCCCCCAAAAAAAAAACCACCATAAAAATTGTTTAGTCATGATTACTTTTGCAAAGTACAGGCTTCCATAAAATACAGTAACACTGTGAGTGGACCTACTCCAAAACAAACTCAAATGCAGTAAATATTCTACAGGGAAAAAAAAAAGATGTCAAAATAATTCTCTATTCATATACACCTGTCTAGCATAAAGGATTTTTCAGGTTAAAAACATTTCTAAATTAGTGACAGCTGAAAGCATATTGGCATAGAAATATAAAACAAGCAAAAAAACACTAAACCCCAAGGCACATTAATAAAGGGAGGTCTGTAAAGCAGTAAAACCCATCTATAAAGATGTTAGGACTAGAAACTTAATGAGGTCTCTGGCTTCCTACACCTGCCAGGCTTTCTGGGCCACAATATGGCAAAGAAAAAAGACGTCTATATGCTAAGCCTGTCCCAAGTCTCCCATCTTGCTGTTAGCTCTGGGATCTCCTGGGTACTCTAAGCACTAGAGATGTCTCACCTTTAACCATGACCTGTTCTTAATGGCAAATTATTGCTTACAGAAACACCTTGCCACTACAGAGGCAGGTTTGTGTGTAGCAACATTCTGACCAGCAGACATCCTGCAAGGAGCTGAGCAGCTTCCCTGCAGAGATACACCTTTCTCCGTGTAAGAAAACTCCCTGATTTGTGTGACTGCAGCACACAACACCCATGATAGAAAGCTAGCACAAACAGGATTTCAGTCAGAACCCCATGGTGTTACATTAACACCAAAAGCCAAAGTGAGTTGCATAGGGAATACTGTCTGTGTTGCAGGTAGAAGAACAATGGCTTTGGCAGTGTGAAAAGGAACAACCTTCAAGGAGCTATTTACAGCAGCTGATGCAGGAAGAGACACTCAGTCCTGCACTGCCAGGCAGCATTGTTTGCCACACTACCCACAGAACTCACTGAGAGGCCAGACTGGGCAAGGCCACAGGGGGCCACTGCCAACTGTAGCTTCTTGTTCAGTTCTCACCTACCCTGAGACTGCTGCCTGCTCGCTCACTGACATTCTCTTTAAAACTAAAGTTTAAAAAATACATTTCATTTTCCTTCTCCAGAGCCAGCCAAGCTTTTCATAGCAGCATCTTGACAACACTTTGTGAGGGATGGTTCATGGGCCCTGGAGTATTTGAAGGCCGTGCTCCAAACTCCAAGCGTTTCACCAACCTGCAAATACAAAATAGGAGTTAGTACATTTCTTGCTCAGTGTTACCATCTTCAGAGTAACTGGTCACCTCCAGAGCACACCACTCAGCTTCAGAAACCAACAGATGAAAGAACAGCACTCTGAGCACTGAGCCCATTCCATAACTGAGCTGAGTTTCCACTGTAACACAGGGCTCCATTTCCCTGTGAGTAGGGCAAACTCTCTTTTACAGGTGTTGGAATTTCAGTTCTTGGCATTACAGCAGTATATACATAATCAGCTGCACGAATACATAGATGTATGGCCCCTAATGCTTTCTTGTAGGAGCTCTCATGAGCTTTCTCCCCTAGGACAGATAGTTCAATACAGAACACTCCTTCCACACAACAACACTGGGCACTGGGTAACAGGACAAACCAGTCCTCCCAGCACAAGGGTCCAGCTGAATAATTGAATCTGGAACAAACTGCATGACAGGCACTTAATTTACAGACAATCTAAAGAGTGTGCAGTACAGCATTGGCAGGGTTTAAGCAGACACTGAACTGCAATTTGTGATAACCTTCCTGATTTTTCTTAGTTTGGTTAAAAAAGGACAACCAGTTCAAGTATTCAGAGAAATTTAAAAGATGAGTAAGGTAACTTCCTGTCAGCTCTTCCTTGAAACCACATCTTAGTAACTGGAAAGCATTCTGACTGAGTGGACCCCTTATTTACCTTTTTTCCAGTTCTCCCACAAATGAGAATCTTAATAATAAAGCAAGTTCCTACATGCCATAACATTCTTGAGACATCACTTGTACAGGAATGCAAAGCATAAAACAAATTGAGCCAATAAGCAAGAGCTCCTCCACTGTACTTTGCCTCATTTAAACACTGGGTTTTTAATAAAGCATGTCTTGGATTTGCTCTGAATTTTTGGTATTCAAAACTTGATTTCACCTGGTCTTTGAACTTCAGCAGCTAGTGATTCCAAATTTTAAACTGGTCTGAAACATTCAAATCATAATCCTGAATAACTAAATTTCACATATTTTGAACACGAATCTGTCTCTACCAAAAGAAAGATTAGTACTAAATACCAGTCTCTAACGCCAAACAGTTGTCACCAGAGAGCAGCACTCACCCTGTATCACACACAGGCTGATGGGGACTCAGGCGTGTTTCAAGGACATCTCTGTTCATGTACATGGACACTGAGGTTCTGTTTGGAGATTGGTCATACATAAAGTTTCGGCAAGATGCAAGTTTGGACTCCAAAGCCTAAAGTAAACATAGATGAGACAAGTGTCAGATTCACCCTTCTTTTTCAGAAGATGGCACTGTGGCACACCAAAATTGCATTAAGTGTGTGTGGGGTTGTTTTTATCTTTCTTTTATAATGAGCTGTCTAGTAGAGGAACCTGCTAGACCCCAGTGTCACTTGAGTCCCCAATTTCTCAGGAAATGAAGACAGTCATTTCTCTAAAGCTGAATCTGTTTCCACAGGGAGTTGATGCTGGTCGCCAGCGGGAACACAAAATCTTCAGCTTCCTCAGAGAGACTTTGACATCTTTCTTACAGGCATCACTTTCTAGATTAAGTGTTCATTTCAGCTATCTGCTTCCCTAGACATGCATTAGGTTGTATGTATTAGGTGGTACAGCAGAGGGAATCGAGCTACAGGTGTCCTGTGTTCCACCATATGCTCCCACCCTAGATCACTCCAGCTTTACTGCAAGCTACTTTTCATATCCATGAGTTCTTCAGCTCAGCCCATCAAAGAGTCATACAAATGCCTGTACCAACACAGCACCAAGGCATAAAGAAGAAAACAAGTCATGGGATAACTTTTCCAGCATCAACATTGCCTTAAATATCAAACTACAGCTTAACAAGACATTAGGCCTTGCTCAACAGACTGCTGGACTCTTAAGTCAAATTTCATAACAAGTCTCTGGACAGCAGGTACCAACCTGCTTTCTTCTCTGCCTTTCAGATCCCTTCTTAATTTATTCATGCTGATTTATTCTTTCTGCATATGCACTTTAGAAATTTGCAGAGGAAGATCTTATCCCTATCTGGATTCGATCTTAGCAAAGCAGAGCAGGGTTCATCTTTATTTGGGGGCCAGTCAGAAATGTGTGAAGTCCAGACCAATTTCAAGGCCATACTTAACTAACTTGGGGGCAAGATGTTCTTTTCAGTCTCCCCTGAGCACAAAGTGCTGGCTGCAGGTTCTGACAGCTCTAGCCTTCCAAGAGCATTAGCTAGCAGGCAGGCACTCACCCCCACTTTTCGCAGCAGGTCTCCCACAATATTAAGTGCAGATATTCTTGCAGCAGGTGTGAGAGGGGTTGCACCATAACTGTCCTCCAGACCTGCAGGGCAGGTTAAAGTAGGATGTGTTAGTCATCAAACTAAACCAGAAAACCTTCGCCCCTGGAAGTCAGACAACAACCTGATATACAGAGCAGAGGAAACATCAATATCCTTTTCATCTCTCACCTCCAGTTCTTTCACATCCATTAGCAATATGAAGCACTACCTCCCTCAGACAGCTCAAGTTACAGCTAAAGTCTTCAGACATGCTGTAGCTTGGGTTTCTAGAGATCTGTTCTACCAGCCTACTCTGCAACTCTGCTGCTGCAGAGGGACCAGAGGGGTGTGTCCTCCCAGACTGTCAGTGTTCTGCTGTTCCAGAGTTAAAAAAAAGCCTCGCTCAAAGAGCACCTACTCTCACAGAGAAGACAGTTCAAGTAACATGAGTGTGACATAAAAGATAACTCAGGTTTTTAAAACCTTTCCCCTAAATTAGACCAACATCTCTGGGACAGTTGTGAACTAACAGTAAAGTCCCAACAGCTCACCTTAACCCTCACAATTATTCTGGACAGCTGAAGGCAACAAACAGCCTATGAATGAACTCCAAAAACCCCCGTCCAGGAATATGGAGACCAGGCAACAAACAGCCTATGAATGAACTCCAAAAACCCCAGTCCATGAATATGGAGACTATGGTGACTGGACTTAGGTGTATTTAACTGAAACTCTCAAGTCTGTTCCCTTCTTTTCATTCCACCTTTAGCCACAAACTATAGTAAAAACAAGACAGTATTTCTGTGCTGGTTCCCTTCAGTCACCTCTCCTAAATGTTGCAGGGGTGGGTACGCTGATGGGAGTCCGACGCACTGAGGGGGTTGAAGGCACAGACAAGGATGCCTGGACTGCAGTGTCTGTTCTTTCTGCTTCCAGGGGAGTTCGCATCGGTGTTTTGGGTTTCTCCTGTTTCTGCTGCACTGCAAGCTCTTGTCGTAAATCTAGGAAGGAAGCAACATGAAGCAAACCTTTGGAGTATGTATCCACCAAGATAAAAACAGGTGAGAATGTTTTGCTCAAAAACGTTCTCCCCTTGTGAAGGTGAAGTCACTTATCCTTGTAAAGATTATTCCAGGTTTATCTTCTAGGGCCTTTCTAGGACTGTTCAAGATGTTTTTGTAGTACTAGTTCTGTTGCTATTTTCTGGCTTTAATTTTCATACCCTTCCATAAGGGTTCCCTTGAGACAGGGAATTAACTCCTTTCCAAATGTTATAGGCTGGTACACAGAGTCACATCAAGTCTAGGCAACTTGGCACACCTTAGCTACATACCAGCTCCCTGCAAGACTGAGATCCTACCTACTGTACCCTTTTCCATCCTGGTTTCCACATGAAGAAAACCAGAGCTGAGGCCAGGTGGAAGTCACACCATTATCTAGCCAAGGGATAGAGCACTTCTGTCCCACAGCCTGGCTGTAGATTTTGGATACCACTCAAGGGCAGAATCTGAGACCTGAAAATAGATGACTACCCAGTCCCATGGTCTCCCTTTGCTCACCCAGCCTTACTGACACACAGCAAGAAGCCAGTGCATGAGGCTGTTCAAAGGTAACCAGAAGTCAGTCACAGCTCTCCTGTTTTACATCCCTATTACTGTTTCTTAAAGAGTGAAGTTAATGGGTATTAAAGCTGAGCTTCATGTGTTACAGGAAGCCAGGCCAGGACATGCCCCAGGTTGGACTGGCTCTTCTTAAATCCCTAAGGCCCTGAAGCATGACACCAGATTAGGAGGCTGGAACAGACTTTTGCTTCTGTGAGCTGCTCTGGAACAAGGTGAGAAGTTCAAGGAGTGGGAAGGACAGAATCATCTTAAGTTTCTTTACTCACTTCTGCATTTCAGACATCAGATTGTAAAGACGCAAACTTCAAAGCCAAGCTCTAAGATATATGGAGAGGACTGAACACATACAGGCCAGGAGGGGAGAAAGGGAAAGATACAAGTAATTTCTGTCTAACCTCTAGCTTCATCTTTCAGGCGCTGCACAGACTCCAGAAGGTTTTCCTTCTCATCCAACTCACTCTCCAGAAAAGCATTTCTTTCAATAGCCTGGTTTAAACGCTGTTCAAAATCCTCCAGAGACATTATAGTGGCTCTGAAAAAAAGAGTGCACAAGATGTCACTACCAGATCCTTCAAGCACACAGAGGATCCCCTTTCTCACAAGAAAACGGGTACTGACGCATTTTTGTTTGGTTTGCTTTGTTTTAGTATTATTTTTTATTTTAGTTTGTAAGATGCAAAAGAGTGAGGGAAATGGAAGGGGAAATAAATTTATCACATTGCCCATCTGCCTCGAACCTCTTCATCACTATCATCATTTCAGTGACTAGTTTGGAATGGCAATGCTAATGAGCAGAGTATCACAAACAGCTCAGTGACACCACACTCACAGGACAAAGAAGAGGTGGAAAAAGAAAACACAGAAAGTGGGTCACCTTTTTGCTCTTTCCAAGTCATCATTTTCTTGCTCGAGTTCTCGAATGTATTTCTGAAGCTGATCTTTAATAGCTCTTGTCTGTGCCAAGTCATCTTCCAGGGCAGAGATTTGTCTGTAGCCTTCTGAATGTTGCATTTCAATCTTTTCCTAATCAAGATCAAATCAAAGAGCATATCAGAGACTTAGAAACACACGTTCTCTTTCTGTGGCATTGTCTGAACCCCTTTAAAGGCAGAGGCAGGTGTGACGAAGCTTTTTGAGAAACATCACTTTACATATGGTAAAATGCCAACAAAGCCAATTGCTCACATACTTCTGGGCTGCCAGCAGACAAGAACTCTTCCTGTCACTCCTTATCAAACAGTGGTGCTGGGGAACAGTTCCCAGCCCTCACAGCACAGGGCCAGTTCTTGCCTCTCCCAGACAGTGCAACTCAGCATAGTTTCTGAGCCCCAAGAGCTTTAGGAAAACACAAAGCTGGATGCAAGAGAAACCACTTATTTTCAACTCTAATATGAACTCAAGTAGTATTTTGGAGCCAAAATAACATGAAAAAAAAATCCAAGTGTGATACTGTCACGTGCTGCTGTGGAATTAGCAAGATTCTGCACTGCCTCTGTGTTTTATTAGCCCAAAGCAGATCACAAAATATTTCAGGTGCAGTTATGCTTCGGATGTGAACCTAAACCAAACTCCTCCCTTTACAGCAGGTATATAAGGGAACATTTAAGAGAAGCATAGGCAGGGAGGAAAGCTTAGCTTCTACATCACATCTCTCTTCTGCTTCTGCTACTCTATGTGGAGTTAGTTCCACAGCATGTGACAGGGAAAGCTTCACAGCACATTGCCCATTACACCACTTTACGTTCCACTGTCTTACTATCAGACCACTACAACATGCCAGAGATTTTTTTTAAACTCCAAGAGTCCTGTATAAGCAGCACTCCTCAAGTGCTTTCCATCTGGAATTTAAGTACAACGCACTTGAAGTCACTCCAAAGAATCCATGCACTGGAATTTGAAAACAATGACATGTAGTCTAGTGTGACCAACAATTTGAAGACAGCTGTTTTAGCATGTGAAATGCATAGACAAGGAGGAGGGAAAGTGATATCCACTCTGAATTAAGAAACTTGATTACAGTGTGGTGACACTGCTATAATTCTGGATCTCTGAAGCACAGTTAAGAGTCTCCAAGCTCTAAGAGGCAGACTATTTTCAACTAGTTTTCAGGACTCCATAAACAAACCCTCCAAAGCATTATTTCCCTCAGTTTTTAGGTAGTGTGAACTCTGGTTTCTGAGGGGGAAGCAAGCACACACACTGGGCTGGTAAGCTCAAAGCCACAAGCTGTGTGGGCCTGGCAAAGTTCACTAGTGTTGACCTAGATGCAGACACCAACCCTTGATGGGCTCAGTTAACACTGCTGCTCAATAGCTTCACAAGATTAATGCTTTGCTCTTGAATTGATTCAGATAAAAGACCAGATCTGCAAGGTCTGAGTCTTTGTTTTTAGCCAATTGTAATAAACTATCAGCTGATCTGGCCCTCAATAGTGGCTCTGTTCCTTCACTGCAGGCTGTTACTGCAGTTTTCAGGCTGCATGAATAGCCAATTGTTAAAAGGTTTGTTTCAAACAGAATATATTTTAAGAAAGTTACCTACTGTGAAAATAATTTAATATTTTTAAAAATATGGAAACCTTTCCACTTTTTGAGGTTCTATGTTGTTTCCTACTATTTTCAGTCTTAACTGCTTTGGCTGGTCCATTGTCCCTTCTCATCCCACCTACTCCAGAGGAAGAAAAAAGTCCACACACTCCTCAATTACATGAACTATAGGTTTTGTTTTTATCAAAAGTTTGTCTTCTCCCCAAACAAATTAGTTTATGGGGCTACATGGAATAGCAGAGTATTCTCCATACAACATGGACAGCATTTCATACTGCTAAGGCAGTAAGAACAAAGATCAATGCAATACAACAAATACAATGAAACAAGCCTTGGAGATCTTGCTATCGAAAAGCAGGGAGGAAGGGGGAATTGCTAAGGTGATGCTAGAGGGACAGGACATCTGCCTGGATCAAAAGAGCATTTCCTTAAGAGAGTAATTGGACAAGAGTTTAAACAAAAGGCATTGCAAACCTGGATCCATCCAGTGATTAATCACTTATACAAATACCTTCACTCCCATTAGCTCATTATTGCATCCAATTGAGTAGAAGAAGTGTAATTACATTAATCTCTGCTCCCAGAGAGATTGACCTAGACCTACAAAACACAGCATACTATTTCCTGGGTGACTGTAAGTCACCTGTAAGTGAAAGGCCAGCAAAATCAAACTTGGAAAAGGCACATCAATTTCAGTGACAGTTTTTTTCCCCAATATAAGAAAACTTAACAGTATATCCTCAACCTGTCAACCTGCACAGTGGACTAGCAGCATCTTTGATAAGACTGAAATGAGGCACTCATCACTCTTCATATTCTAGATAGCTTCGCTGTTTCTTAAGTCACTGTGCTAAGAAGCTCCATCTCAAAATCCCTTATGCTTTATAGTTCTGGAAGTTAATGCTTGCTGCTGATTCTTAGTTTTACAGAAGGATGTGTAAAGAGGATAAATTATTTTTCCCCAAGTACAGACAGATTCAGCAACAAAACTGGTTTATGACTTTCAGTTCTATGAGTTACCCACACAGCTCTATGTACTACCAGATAATAAATACACAACTATATAAAAAGGGTTTAAAATTACTGAGATTTCTTACATAATGCAAGAACACAGCTGCAATGTTCCTATATCGACTGTTCTGCAATATTATCTGTGTCTGCATAATGCAGACAGCAAGAAAGCTGTGAACAAAAGCACTAAATAGACAGAAGGAACAGAACAGCAGTTCTGTTATGTTCATGTTTAGTCTCCACTCTATGGTGAACAGTTTTCTCCCACCTGAAATCTATCCTGACACATAGCCACAACCTGTGGACAGGGGTTCAGGAACATTACCAAGGGATCCAGAACCCTCAAAGCAGACAACAGATTGGTATTTCTTAATTTTTCAAGACTTTCCTCTCTGCAGTTTTCTGCTCAATTCCTTTGTAATGCTGAAGGTAACAGCACAAGGCAAGCTGGCTCTGCACATGCCTGTCCCATTCACCCTTGCACTTAGGATGTGCACATACTACATGCATCATCCACTCACCTTGACTGACTCCAGCTCCATGCGCAGACGATTGTTTTCTGACAGAAGGTCTCTGTTTCTGGACTCTGTTTGCTGCAGCTGAGTCTCCAGTTCAGCTTCATACTCTCGACTCCCTTCTTGGAACTCACGCAATTCCTCCTGTGTATTCTCAGCACTAGAGAGCAATTCCAACAACAGAGCTCATCATAATGAGCAAAGAGAAAAATCTCTCTTGTACACTCAAGTTAAAATAAAATCCTGCCTTTTACTATAGAAGGCTCTTCTTCAACATACATATCCAACAGGAAAGAGAATATATATGCAAATGTTTCCCCATCTAGCATAGAAAGCCACCCCACAGCTAATGGGTACACAAATAGAAAAAGCCCAAATAAACAGAAAAATCCCAAAGTCTTCACATTATAGGTGTTGAAGACATATGGTATCTCTTTAGCTTGCAGACTCTTTATTGCCATCTGCATATTTAATCTGTTATTCAATTCAATTATTTATTTGGAAATATGAATCCATTATTGATTAGCAATAAAAAGTGAAATACAGGAAGATGAAAGGAAATGTATTCTTATATTGTTAAACAATTCTATTGAAACAACCCTCCAGCAAGCTAAACAAGCAGCAAAGAAAGGTCTAAACACAGTGTTATGCCTCTTATCCACAATGACTTGGAGGAATGAAGCCACTGCCTTACCACAGCTTGTATTTCATAGCCAACTCTTTCCAGTATCTGGTTTCCTCTTCCACTGAGCTGAAGTGATGTCCTTCTGAGTCATCCATGATGAGTCCTCAAAGTTTAAAACTCCTGTTTCATTTTTCCCTCCTGGAAAATTAAAGGATCCAGCCTAAGAACTAAGGCAGTGAGCTACCTCAGTCCCTGTTGCTGCAGAACAGCACACCCCTCCTCCCACAGTCACTGTTCACCTGGAGGCCAAACAGACCAGCCTTGACAGGTCTCTCTTGGATAGACCATAAATGTGAAAGAATTCCTGAGTCACTGGGTCCCTTTCCACAGTTCTCCCAAAGCTGCTGCATGCTTACACCACACGCCCAGCAGTGAGCACCTTCTACACCCTCTGACTACACAGCACAAAGCACCAAAAACCAAACTTGAGCTGCTGCTGTGCCAATGCACAGAGAACAAAAGGGAATGAAGATATCTCAGGCACAACTTCAGCTCCAAAGACACTGCAATTCAACAACCCTAAAGACACTTACCATGAAATTAAAGAGAAACTTCAAATAAACACAGATAAGGTAATCAAAATACTGATTTCCTGTGTTAAAATTTCCAGGAACACATCAGCTTTTTACAGACATAACTGCTGGACACAGGAAAAAGTTCTCCCTAGGTCAACACAGATAAAGCTATCCAACTTTAAATTTGAAATATCACAATCCATGTATGGCTTAGAGCTACAATCTATCTGGATTCCTCAGAGAGCCATGGGAGAAGGGAGCTCTTGAAATTCCCAGGGAAGTGAGGACAAAAGCTCCACAGAGGATTTAGCAGAACACCACCTGGCTGGGTTAGGTATGCAGACATTGCAGCAACCCAGTGTGCAATCCAGACCATCCAGCTGTCCCTGTGCCAGCACAAACCCTGTCCCTGGACACAGTCCCAAATGGCAATGACACATGCAAGAGCCACGGGGCAGTCAAGAACCTGAAATTGGTCACTCCCACTTGAAGACTGAAGTAGCTTAAATTAAATAAATGCCCTATGATGTGTATGATGCATTGTAATAAACTGGTCAGTAGCAAGTATCATTTTATGAGAGTTAGTCTTGACAATGGAGAAACATCAAACCTAATGCTCTGCATAATCTGCCCATGTCCAACCCTGGGTGAGGCAAAGATTCCACACTGACGTTATCAGTTTAATAGAAACCATATTAGATCAAGAACAGCAAATAAAGCTGGAATTGAACAGTACATGACAATGGCATTTGTCAAAAAACTGCTACTGAAATCCAGTGACTGAAGAAACATGGTTCTACCAAATTTCAGCTCCAGTTCTGCTGAGCAAAACATTTCCTAGAGGTAATCCTGATGGAACAATAAAGAAAAGATAGTCAAAGCCTTCAAGGATATCTTAGATGTCAGCCCTGCCTTCTATTCTGATTTATGATACCCATAAAATGCTGGAGCAGACCTCTGAGCACAATGTCATAGCTAAAGGAAATGTGCATCCCCTACACATCTGTTGAACTCAATGGAAAAAAATTATTCATAACTGTGTCAAGACTTTCCACTCCAAAAAATCACCTGGTGTAAAGAGGATTAACATCCATCTATCTAGTAACTACTGAGACAAACCAAAGTAGCTCTTACCTCTACTACAGACAAGAGTATCAAGCACTCAAAGTAGTCTGGCAATCTACAGCCCAATTCCTACACGCCCAAGCAATGCCACAAATCACAAGCCCTCTTCACAGCCCAGGCAATCATCAGATAATTGAGTAAAGAGGAAGCTGCGTCACAGCTAGGTGGGCTGTGCCCACATACTTCAATTCACAGCATCAGCTACACACTCGCAGAAATTACACCATTATTTAGAAAGGAAGCTGGCAGGTGAGAGGAAAAGTTACTAAGCTTTAGTTTTCATTTGACACAAACTGTTCATTAGACAAAGCTACATGTCTTACTTCTAATAAATAAAACCACTGTGTGATGTATTGAAACATTTCCAGAATGAAGTCTCAAGGCTGCTGGTCTCTGTACGTATTTACAGAAGTATGCACAGGGGAAAAAAAAAGAGAGGAAAAGGAGGGTGAGTAAGGAGGAGTGATTTTCTAGATAGTACCCTTACCCATTAAAAAGAAAATCACTACCAAGCATAATCAACATTCTTGACCTAGGATAGTTTATGTATGACACGTCTACTCTGTTATTTTTAAGTGAACTGAAAGTGCCTTTGATGTTAATAAGCATGTTCTTATGCTCAAGGCACTGTGTACATACACACCAATCCCTGCAGCACTTGTGAAGAAAAAAATTTTCTCTTTCACAGATGAGGGACAGAGAGGGAGACTCAGACACAAGGAAATGATGCAGGTGCAGTGAGAAACCAAGAAGGACCAGCATCACTACTGCAGCCAAACCACTCCAGAGAGCAGCCAGTTTCCTTCATATGGTTACCCCACACCACTGAAACAACAGGAAGTTTCTGTATTTCTTCAAGAACTGAGATTCCAGTGAGGGTGTGCCTGATTTGGCTACACAAATGAAAATATATTTCAGAAGTCTCCTAAGAGGATTTTTTATGACACAAGTGTCATAATATATCCCATATCTGTGTTCAGACAGTCAACAAAAATACGTCAGACAGGATAAAGATGGAGTGCAAGACATCTTGCTCCGAAAAAACCCTTTGTAACCAAAAGACAGAGCTCCCATCAGCCTCACAAGCTTGAATATACTCATAGCTGGCTCTTACTTGTGTTTTTACACTGCACTTTGGAAGAACGAGACTGTACCAACTGGCATTTTTTGAGATTGTAAGGGCACATAGAGAACTTTCCATAACTGAACCGTAAGAATCTTGTTAACATTCACACAGAGAAATAAAGGTGCTGTGCCCTTTGGTTTCTAGGTATGTCTTTGTAAACATAAGATTATGGACCCAGTGAGGATGTCATCCAGTACAGTCTCATGGCTACCATTACTAAATAGTACCTATAATTAATTGTTAAACTGCAAATACATGGAAGGATCGTGGACCTGTACTTATTCCAGAGATGTGGCTACTGTCCAGTGCCACAGGCACATGTTTTTTGCCTGCAACACACAAGGAAGACCTATTAGTTTCCCTGTACACCTGCACTACATCTTCGCTCACAGGGATTTTCAAACTAACCCAAGATGCAAAATAAAAACTTAAACTGAAAAGTAAAGTTCCAAGTTTTAGACAAAGTATTAAAGTTTTGGGGTTTTAATTTGTCAAAAAAGAATACAAAAAAAACCCATATAAGTCGCTCTAAATTGCCTGTAGAAAGGGTAAGGCTGTAACACTTTGTTTTCTCCCTGATGCCTTCTCCCCTTGATTTATAGCGGTTTGGAGACAACATGCAAGAGGTTTAAAGAGCAATTAATTGCTGTCCAGGCTTGCTACAAAATGTTGCAGGGCAAGGGGGTGAAGAAGGTTTTAGCGATGCTTTGTTAAACATTGGCAAAGGTGGAGAAAACGAGGAGAGAAAAATCACAGTCTGTAACAAGCACACACTGTCTGCACCTTACTTGTTTTCTCACACATAAAGCCAGAAGAAACATCTGGCCAAACTTCCTGCTTGCTGGGAGCACAAGTGCTGGTCACAGGCATTACAAACCCTCTACATCATTCAGGAAGTGGAAGTGTTCATGGGTGGGGAACAGATTTTGCAAGCAGAAAAAAGCCACAGCATCAATGCTGCAGTAAACAATTTCATACAAGTGAGAGCAGAACTGCAAAATTCCTAAGGGAAAAAAACACATGCAGAAAAGCCACACACAAAATTACTGAAGGAACCTCAATTTGGGAATCAGAGTCTGAGTTCACCCAAACTCATGAGAGCCTCAACTTAGATTTTGCTTCAGTCCTAGAACAAAGGACTCAGAACAATCCTGATACTAAACTTTTTCCTGTAACAAAAGAACACTTCAGCTTGGTGAACAATGCTGGCCTATCTCTGTAGCAATGCCTGATGGCCTGAGTCAGAGAAATTCATAAAACAGTAAAACAGTAAAACAGTACCACAAATACTACTGAAGTACCCATGACACTGATGACGAAGCTACTAGACATTTTTGCCTAACTGCAAACCAAAAGGAACCCTGTTTTTGCTCCTGAAAAGTAGTTTTCCCGTCCCATCAAAGTTACATTCCCTTAAAAGAGTCGCCTTGAAAGGGTCTTCTTGTAACACAAGGACCCATTTTCTTTTGTTTCAGCAATACAAAAGGAAATCACCACAACAGAGAAGGAAAAGGCAGAGGTCACGGGAGTGCCAGGATTACTACAGAATCCCAGCGCCAGCACTGAAAAGACTTATCAGCTTCTCAGGGTCTTCTCTACCACCAGGCTGAGCTCAGCAAACCCTCATCCTTCCAGTTACCGGTCCAGCTGCGACACTTTCCAATTCCGAGCGATTCCTAAGCAAACTCCGCAGTTTTCTCTCCTGAAACGCCTGATGCTTCCAGCTACAAGCCAAGAGGTCAGCTAGGCTTCTGAGCATCCCATTCCCATTCGGAGCACGAAGCGGGCGGGAGCTACCGCAGCGGG